AAGAAATAGACCCACAAATATAGACAACAGACTGCTACCATAGGGAAGAGAGTGGAGGATGGGTGAAATAGGTGAAGGGGATGAAGAGGTACAAACTGCAAACTACTGTAAAGTAAGTCAGATATAGGAATAGAAGTATAACATAGAGAATTTAACCAATAATATTGTAATATCTTGGTATGATAATGGGATAACTACACTTGCGGTATCTAGTAATGTATACAATTATCAAGTCATTGTGTTGTATATCTGAAACCAACATAATATATCAACTGTATTGCAAGAAAATATAAATAAATTACCATATTCAAGGAATCCATATCTACTGTACTGAGTTGAGTCATCTCCTATATATACTAAAGAACATGATTTCTCATGTATTTTTTGTGAACTCATTTTGTTCATAAAGGATAAAGGATGACTCCTTCAAAGGAATGAATAAAAGAGCTTGTTTTACTAATGATGAAATGAAAATGAATTAATAAAAGAGCTTGTTTTACTGATGATGAAATGAAAATGAATGAAAGACATACAAAATGAGTGAAAGTCATACACAAATTACAAGTGGGAATTACTGAAGCTTAAAAGAGTAAAATAACTAACCAGACACTGGCTGTGAAGAAAAATCGCAGCAGGTAATTCCAAGATCATGTGCTTTTTCACTATGCAGACACCTCATTTTATCATCCCATACTGTTAAATCTCCACATGAGGACCCAGTGACAAAGAGGTTTCCATTAGGAGAAAACGCACAAGCTACCAAGGAGCCATCCTTAACACTACCACATCTGAAATAAAAGCAAAAAAAGGGGGTTTGCATTTCAGAGCATCTTTTACTTATAATCTCTAACAGCAGCTTGATACAGTAAAAAAGGATAGATGGCTATCAAAAAACTAGAAAGGACAATAGATGCCTACAGAAATAAAATACCATTTATATGCTATAAAGTGACATAAGCTTCCTAAAAATAAGAGGATTTAAACATTATCTTAAATAATGTGTTCAAGACTAAACTGTAGGGATCCAAACCAAAGTCCATATATCTTAACATTTTTCCATATGACAAATCAGTGTGAACACATTCAAATCTACAAAAGTTAACGATAATAGCAATGACAACCAACAATATCAAGAATAGATACATACTTAACAAAAAAGCAACTATTTTTATTTGAAAAACATGTTACTGAGGTCATAAGTCCTTTCAACTTTTATTTTAAAGTCACCTAAAAGTCCCAATAAAGCCGTTCATCTTATCTTTAAATATAAATTCATTATGAAAAGAAAATGCCATGAACAAGTTAAAATCTTGGGAAGATAAGGAAGCACTGTGCTGTCAATACTAGTAATTATTTTCTTATAGGAAAAATAAAGTGGTAAAAACCCAACAATTAATACTATCCCATCCAGTGCTTTTATCCACTGCAGGGCATCATTTTACATGATTAATTACATACAGTATAGAAGTAATGCTAAAGAGAATTTATCACCTGATTGAGAAAGAATATTCCTTTTCTGACAGCTGTATTTCATTCATATAAAAAACAAAGATAATTCATTCTTTATGTGCCTTCTCTTAATTTCTTTATTAACACCACCTAAAACATACCACCTTTTTAACTCAAAGACCTAAATCTAAATGAACAACAGTTGTTTACCAGCGGACACCTGTGTTCTGAATTTTGTTAGGGGGAGGGAAAAGGTAAGGTACATTAGGCTTTTTTTATTTGGTGACATTGAAAAATTTATGGTTTTTAATATACTTAATGTCACTGAACTTTACACTTAAAATGGTTATAATGGTAAATTTTGTTACATATATTTCACCACAATGTAAATACATAAAGTATATGGTTTTAATATTGGTAAGTTGCAACGGAACATCACCAGTGTAAATTAACTGTATTTTTATCCAAAAGGAGTTTTTGAGGTTTGTTTTTTGTTTTAAGAAATAACACACCACCACACTAATCCCCCTCCAAGGTTCTTTCTTCTGGAGGCTGTCATTCACCCAACAAGAATCCTAGTCAGGAAACAGCTGTGTCTTTTAGGTGAGACTTACCTACTATTACCTCATTATTGAGAACACTTTGAGCCACAAGTGACAAAAATAAAGCATAAAATCACCAAAACTTATTCAAAAACTGTTTTCTTTGCCTAATTCTGACAGGAAAAAATCCATAGAACTCTAGCAAGTTTAACCCTGATTTTACAAAAGAACGATCGGAAATGTCAAACTCTTCAGAGTCAAGCAAATTTACCACAAGAATATTGAACATCTGTTGTAAATTTCACGACAGGGAAAATAATATTAACTGATTCTTAAAGTCACCAAAAATATTATGCTCTTTGGGTGGTAGACATGTTAAAAGGGTTAAAAACAGACAGGTCTTTATTAATATGCATACCTGTATAACCTGTATGATTGTGCATTCCACAAAACAACAGTTCCATCAGCTGCTCCTGATACCAAACGAGTGGAGTCTGGGGAAAACCGGCAAACCCTCACGGGGCTACCACTGGGCTGTTCCATCACTGCCAAAGTCTGTCCATTTTCAGTATTCCATAGGACAGTGGTACCATCTGTTGAACATGAAGCCAAAATGTGTCCTGAAGGCGAGAAACAGCAGCAGTGGACAGCATAGGTGTGAAACTTCAGTGGAGAGTGTGGCAGTTCAGTAAAATCACTTAGGGAGTACAGGCGAATTGTTTTGTCCAAGGAACAAGTAGCCAAGAGGGAAGAGGAGAAGGCACAGCAGTTGACGTCATCACCATGATCAGCTATTGTATGAATTAGTTTCACCATGTTCTTTATTTGAAGTAAATACCCTGCATTTTTAAGTAGACAAAGGTTACTTCTTCCTAGGAATCAAATAAAAGCAACTGAAATCCATATAATTAAGGGGCCAAAATTAAGAATTTGCCCAATGAAAACAGTTTTTATATCTGGGATAAGGATAATTTGGAGAGAAATAAAGCATTTCTAAGACTACATCTGATGATCACAGTCACCACTGCCATACCAATAAAGTTTCATTAACTCCTGAGAAAGACCCTTGTCGAATAACATCAAACTGATTTGACCTTGAACATTCAAAACCTTGGGTATTTATTTCACCTTTGAACATTCAAAACCTTGGGTATTTATTTCACCTTTGAAGACTTTCCCTGAACTAATTGCTCCATAACACTGCCTCATTCCAGATCTGCTAATCTCAACTCAAAGATTTTTCACTACTTCAACAAACTGTCTTGGCTGCTCCTTCTGCAGGATGGAAACTAACAAAAGGCTTCATTCAAAATATAAGTGGTATTGAAAGCTACTATGTCATGTTTTGTCATCTTGTCTGATAAAGAATAAATGATATAACAGATCTGAGGTTGAGAACCAATTTAACCAATCCAAGAAACCAAAGAGTGGCAAAAAATAGACTTACACTGACTGCACTTGAGAACAAATTTACAAATTCAGAATAAAATCCAAACTCCTCACTCTGACTCACAAAACCCTACCTCATCTGGCTCTTGCCTGCCTACTTCTCAGATCTCAAGTCAGGCCACTTTCCTTCTCCCTCACTTCTTTCAGGCCTTCCTGATTAGGTTCCAGTCTCTGATCTTCATAAAGAGGTTTTCTTATGCTGAAATTCTCTTCCCTGTGCTTCTGGGGTCCCTTTCTTTCACATCTCAATTTCTCCCCTCACAGAGTTTTCCAATCTAAAGTGGCCACTCTTCAAGCTAACATATCGTCTGTTTTAATCCTGCGTATAGCAGTTACCACCATCCTATTTATTTGTCCCTCCAACCAGAATGTAAACCAAAGGAGTAGCTATCATCCATTTTGCTCATTTGTGTATCCATAGCATGTAAAAGTGTCAGGCATCTAAAGTGATCAAATAAATATTTGTTGAATATTTTTTCCAAATCCAACTGAGGTCTTAGCCTTTAAATATTACGTATGAACATAATACAAAACTTAAGATAAATTATCAATATTAAAAAAAAAATCTAACAGTGGATAAACGGTGTAGAATGAGGCAATAATCGGCCCCTTAAGGGACAGATACAACCTTGAATTTTAAGAGCCATAATCCCTTGCTCTGTTCTAATTTACAGAAATCTTTGCTAATAGATGATGCATGACTTTTCCAATATTTATCTGAAAAATTCGGGCCTGTATTTTCACTTACAGCCTAAAAAATTTTTTTTCCTAAAAAGCCTTTTAAAAAAAGTTTAAAAACACGATAAATCCTAGTATATTATCACTTGTATTATTGCACTGAAAATAAGCAAGATCAGGCGGTGCTTTTTGGAGAACTCCCAAATCCCAGTTGTGCAAGTGCACCTAGAGATGTTTCCAAACAAACTCACTTCTTCACCCTTGTGGCTCTCGGCTCCCTTTGCATTTCCAGGCTATACAACTGTTATACCAGAGACGTGATCAGCTGACCACTTTTGTTCAGAAAAGCGCTCTCAAGCCCACCCCTACCTGCCTCGGGGTGTGGGCGTCCACTCAGGCCTCAGCTGTCACACCAAACAATCCCCTGCGAACCGGCCCAACTCGCCAGTGTCAACACACGCATCCCCATCTATCCGGAGCAAACCCGAGACGTGCCAAAAGCCCCCCAAATAAAGCCCGCGACTTACACCCCCCACTCTGAGAGCCAGCCGGGCCTCAGCTGACTGAGCCTCCCAGGCAGGAGCGCGGCCTCGGCGTCTGGCGCCCGCTCCGCGGCGCGCGGAGAGCAGGCGGGGCCCTTGGGGGCGCGGGCACCGGGGCGCGGCCAGGGCGCAGCTGGCCTTGTACGCGACGCCACTGGGCCCCGCCCGGCTCCCGAGCCGAGGCCGCACAACCGTGCCTCGTTCCCGCAAGGTCCCGGCGGGTCCCTGTCGTGCGCTGAGAACCAGACTCCGAGACACGGAAGGTTCGGACACCCGGAGGCGGGAGGCTCCTTGGGCTGACGCCAGCCGCTCTCCCGGACCTGCCGTCGCTGCCTCTAAACTGGCCCTCGGGCGCCGCCGCTCCCACCTGAACACGCAGCTGGCGCGGGATCCGCCCTCAGGAGCCCGGGACGCGGCACGGGCCACGTGACCCACAGGTGAGGCGGGCCGGGCGGGCTTGGGCGGAAACCCTCAAGCGCCGGAGCAGGCCCCGCCCCCCGAGGCCGCCCACGCGGAGGCGCATGCGCGCGCTTCGGCTCGCTGTTGGGAAGGGCTTCTCGGAGATCCTGGGTCTAGGCTATGGCTGAGGGTTAGAGTTGGGAAGAATCTTTAGGGGCAATTTTTTCCCAGTTGAGAAAGCTGAGGTCCCAAGGTCTAAAGTGCTGAATTGTTTTAAAGGGGCCACTGTAGCAACTGTCCGGTTACTGCATCTGAGGGCTTTTGAATTTCCTTCCTCTACCGTATTTTTCCACCCTGCACGGTCTTTGCTGTTTAGGCTGTGTTCTCAGCGGTCCGGCTTGGTGTCCTGCCATGGTCTTTGTGTTCAGATATCCCATATCTCCCCAGCGCAAATGGCTAACTCTGGCCCCAGTCCTGGGGTTCCCGCTGTCCACTGGACAGGTCGGCGTGGATTTCCTGGTATCACCTGCGCACACTGGACATTCCCTCCACCCTTTCTGAGTGTCTCCTAGGCTCACAGATAAACCGTGGTTTCATGTGTAATTGACCGTAAAGTGGTCCTGCCAAACCCTTTTGAGATTTGAAAGTTCAGAAATTCCTAGGCATGCTAACCCTTGTTAACTAAGTGCACGACTCAGTACAGGACAACGTTCAGATGAAAATTTATTAAAGATACAGAGCCTTTATTTTTAATCCGTACAAATTTAGAGCTTTCTTTAACGAGTTTTTCTTTTAAAAACTCAGCCTGAGGAAACCAAAGTCATACATTTTAAAAGTAATAACCTCAGATGTCAAATTAAAGATGAAACTAAGACCACTGTAAATGTAATGAGACAAATGGAAAAGATCAAAATTCATGATTTTTTGACTAAGGAGTGCATGATTGAGATTTTGAACACCTGATTCCATACGTGCCAAAGTACTCCCAAAACAGCGTTTTTCTAACAGGAACTTGATTTAATAGAGCTCTCTGTAGGAAATAGAGAAAACACAAATAAAAACAGCCAATAATTGTATCAAAGATAACCCACTCAGACATGTTTCTTTTCAGTCTTTTTCACTCATATAAATAGCAGTAATTTTACAAAAAGTCCTACAAATGCATTTTTAAACTTAAATCCTGAGCATTTTTCCATGTCTAAAATTTCTTCAGTAACTTCATTTTCTTCTGAATAATGGTCCACATTTCTGGAAATATACCATGATTTATTTAACATTTACCTTGTTATTGGATAGTTGTGTCAATATTTTTGTAATTACAAATATAATGGATTAAACAACTTTGTACATAAATCTTTATCCACATTTATGAACACTAAGGAAATTATTAATAGAAATGTAATTACTTGGCATAAGTGTGTAAAGATTCTTAATAAATACTGACGTATTGCTTTTTAGAGAGGTTGTATCATTTACAATTTCAGTGACATATGATTGTGCCTCTACATATTCTTGACAGACTTGAGTAATACCTTTTTTATCTTCACTAATTTGGTGAGTTAAATTGGTTATATTCTTTAAGAAAAATATGCAAATAAACTCCTGGCCTACACATGCCAGTAGTTTAGCATAGAGAACTCAAGGGCAATATGGTCAGCTTTAGGCACGGGTAATTTCTGAGAGGGAAGCCTTATCTTAGCTGGTCTGTAGTCTACATGTTTGCAATTTGGGAGATGTTAATTAAAATATCTTGCTAAGAACTAAGAAGTTTTGTGGAGGATGTGAAGAAAAGAGAACCCTCGTGGACTGTTGGTGGGAATGTAAACTATTGCAGCCATTATGGAAAACAGTATGGAGTTTCCCCAAAATATTAAACATAGGGAAACCATACATCAGTAACTTTGCTTCTGGGTGTTTACCCAAAGAAAACAAAAACACTAATTTGAAAAGACATATGTACCCCTAAGTTTATTGCAGCATTATTTACAACAGCCAAAATATGGAATCAACGTGTGCCCATCCATAGGTGAATGATGAAAATGTGTCATATATTTATATGTGTTTATATCTATACACACACACACACACACAATAGAATATTACTCAGTCATAAAAATGAATGAAATCTTGCCATTTGCAACATGGATGGATCTAGATGGTAATATGTTAAGTGAAGTAAGTCAGAGAAAGACAAATACCCTGTGATATAACTTATATGTGCAATCTTAAAAAATAAAACAAATGAAAAAACACACAAAATAAAAATTGACTCATAAATACGGAGAACAAACTAGTGGTTGCCAGGTTGCCATTGGGGAGGGGGAAATGAGAAAAATAGGTGAAAGGGATAAAGAGATAAACTTCCAATTATAAAATAAATAAGTCACAGGAATGAAAAGTACATCATAAGGAATATTTGTATGGTGACAGATGATATCTACACTTATCTTGGTATGTTGTATACTTGAAATTTACTAAGTAAATCTTAAATGTTCTCACTACACACAAAAAAAAGTACTTGAATATATTTATAGTATCTCTTCTAAGGTCCTGTTATTTTTAAGTTTTTGATTTCATCATCTCTGTCACTTCTGTGTCTGATTCTCTTCAGATTTTTCTCCTGGTTATGGGTCACATTTTTCTTTCTTCATTTCATGTCTGTGCCTAGTGATTCTTGACTGAATTATAGATATTTTCTATTTTATTATTTTTGAGTGTTGTTTGGGTATTTTCCCTAAACAGTGCTGGACTTTGTTCTAGCAGGCATTTAATTGCAAACCATCTTGATCCTTTTGAGGTTTCTTTGTTGTTAAGGCAGGTTTATAGTAGCCTTTTCTCTAGGGCTAGTTTATTCATACTACTTTAGATGTTTCTACTGGGTGTATTGGGAGTTCCAAAAGGATTCTCCACTTTTGGCTAGTCAGAACTCAAATGTCTCTCAGTTCTTTGAGAGCTCTGTAAATTGTTCTATTTACAGACCTTCAGTCATTCTTTGCCCTGCCTCAGAGAGTCTCACCCTATGCATGTGCAAATTAGTATTCATCAAGGGTCTCAGGACAGACTGGATTTCCGGAGCTTTTTGTGTAGCACTCCTTTCTAGATTATACCCTGCAAATTCCTGCCACCTCAGCCTTTCTGAACTTTGACCTTTGTCTCCTCAACTCAGTGTGATTTCTTTTCTCTATTCAGAATAGAGAAGCTTCCTCCACTGAAGTCCCAAAAGTGATTTCAGGCAGAAGCCAGAGTACTTGCAAAGGAAGCTTCATTTCTCACTCTTATTCAGGAATTAGATTTGCACTCCCTATAGTATAATCTCTGAAAACATTTGTTTCATATATTTTGTTTAGTTGCCTTCTTGCATACAGCAGGAGATGGAAGTTGCATTTCCTTCCTCATGCAGAGTGAACTTTGAATGTTCTTAGATATTTGATTCCCAAGTTATGTATCTGTTCCTAACTAAACTAGCATGCATTCATCTCCTAAAAATTACCATCTTGATATTATTCCATGCTACCAATGCTCAAATCAGTTTTGGAATATTTTCATAGAAAAATGCATTCAAAGAAAAACAATCAGTTCTATCATGTTCTCAAGAATTCAGTTTTTGAAGGTCAAAAACAAACGTTTGAGTCCTAACTGAAGTTCACTAAGTTTGGTGCCAATGACATTGCCTTTTTGAGCATTAGTTTTCTCAGCTGTAAAATGGGCTATATCCCAGTGTACATGTTACACAGCATGTACCTTGAATAGCAGGCACCCTGGCTATGTCAAGATTTCACCTGAAACAAAATATTCTAATCAAATGACTTATATAGTAAAATAAACTAACTTCACCCTAGCAAAATGGTCAAAAGTCTTGTGGCTTCAAGATTAATTAATTTCATGGCTCATGTCATCAAGAACCCAAATTCTTTCCATCTGCCCCTCCTCCTCCTCTGCCTTTAGCGTTACCTTTATCTTCTCTCAGGTTTGTCTCTGCACAGCTGAGACATAGCTGCAGTAGCTCCAACACAAGAGCCTCCAACAACCATCTTCAAAGACATGAGATGTCCGTTTTAGACAGAAGTTCTCCAGCCAGTTTTCCATAAGTCCCCCGGCAGACTTTCATTTGTCACTGCCAAGAATTCTCTCACATGCCATTCTTTAAGCTATCACTTTCAAGGGGAATAGAATTACCAATGTTGGCTTAATAGTTAATATTTACCCTCCTGGAATTGAAAAAGGGCCCACTTTCTCTGGAAGCATATGGCCAACTAACATTTATAAAGAGTGCATGGAAGAAAAGATGGAGACTAGACAGCTACCGAACAGGCAATGGAAGTATCTATTCAATAAGAAGCTATTTAACTTAACTGAGATAATACATGTGAAAGTAACCCATGTTCAATTATTACATAATGTTATGCTTCATTCTTTAATCATTAACGGGCATTATTCAGTATATTCACCAGTTATATTTATGAGCTAAACTTACCATATTTGATTTGTGACTCTCAAATGTTAAAAAAATTTGGAAGGCACATTTGTTGTAGAGATATACATAATTAAGGAAGATGACAGACATGCTAAAACCTTCCCAAATTCTACAAACCAGAGGGCAAAAAGCACTATTAACACTTTAATACATACATACCTACAGAATTTTCCCCATGCTAAGTGTATTCAACATTTAACAGAATCAGTATACATTCTGTAACAAGCTTTTTACCTTAATTTACCAAAATCAACACAGATTTACAGGGTACTTCTTAATAGCTGAATAGAATCTGCCTTTTAAGAAAAATCCCTTCTATATTAAAAATTGAGCTTTATTGTAAAGAAGATCCTCAGAAGGGTGTATCACAAATGCTGACACCATATTGATGAAGGAGTTGTAAACATATTTTGAGAACTGGAGGAATCCCTTGGATAAGCATATTACAGCCTCTCAAGGCCTCTACTGTCTCCATGGAAACCTGTCACGTAAAAGCATCACTAGCTTTGGTGATCTAGTGAGCTTGCTGAGCTTTCCCTCACCTCAGTCTGATTTACTCCCAAACGGCTATAAGCCTTAGGTCTCCATCATTCACTAAGGAATTCCCCTGCAAGATTCAACCTCATTCTTTGATATCCACTCCACCGATTATTAGGATCTTTCAAAATTCAAAGACATGGTAAGGAGTCTGTTTGGGGGAGAATAGGGCACTCTTAGAAATCCAGCTTGATACTTAGTTTAAAAAATTGTAAAAACATTAATTAAAATTTTTTTTCACTTATATAATACACCCCACACTGCTTTCATTCAGTCATCCAGTGGGAACAACCCAAATGATCTTCATGTGTATGGTCAGAAAGAGAAACTTCAAACACAGCCCAGATACTAATTTTGCCACTGCCTCTCCCTGGATTTAAATGCTAAGGCGCAAAATTCTCTTCCAATGAAGGTCCAGAGGATCCATTGGAATCACAAAACAATATGGAAATCCCTCAAAAACTTAAAAAAAAATCCAAAATACCAATTCAAAGAGATATGCACCCCTATGTTCACTGAAGCAGTATTTACAATAGCCAATATATGGAAGCCACCTAATTATCCATCAGTAGATAAATGGATAAAGAAGATTAAATTTACACAAAGGAGGACTACTCACCAATAAAAATGAATGGAATCTTGGCATTTGTGAGAACATGGAAGGACCTAGAGGGTACTATGGTAAGTGAAATAAATCAGACAGACAAATACCGTATTTCACTTACGTGTGGAAACTAAAAAACCAATACAAACGAAAAACAAAACACAGACTCATAGATAAGGAACAAACTGTTGTTTAACTGTGCAGGGAGTGGTCAGTAGTAGGTGAAATAGGTGACAGGGATTAAGTGGTATTCCAGTTACAAAATATACATAAGTCATGAGGATGTAAGGTACAGCATAGGGAATATACACAGTGATATTGTAATGACTTTGTATGGTGACAGATCATAACTAGACATTTGGAAATCACTTTGTAATACATAAAAACATCAAATCATTATGATATACATGCTAAACTATGGGCACACCTTGTTTTATTGTACTTTGCAGTAATTGATTCTTTTAAAATACCTCCCTTAACTTCTAGTTGAAATTATTTTAACAACACAAACTTCTTTCATTTCTTAAATGGGAACATTTAAGATATAAATAACCTTGAGAGAAGTCCACAAATAAAACACAATAAGGAGTAAATGATTGATACCAGGTTTCCTTGTTGAGGATGTGTTTAATGAGAGGCTAAATGAATAGGATTTTAAATTTTTTGAAAAGGTATTGGGGGTGGAAGGAATGGAAGAACCCACAGAGGGCTGCATAAGGTACCAAAGGCAGATTAGATTCCCTCATCATTTAAAAATGAGTGCTTTTAACAAATTTCATTTTGGGGTTGAAACAAGGAAAAGAGAGAACCGTGCATTTATGGTAACTTAATTCTTCTGAGTTCAAGATACACCCATACCCATAGATAAGTTTCACTTGTTTTTCACTATGGTTATCAACTATTACTTTATTCTCTATATATTATTTCAAATTGACTATTTTCTGAGTTTAATGGTACAGCACTGTTTGGTTGGTTATCATTTGTTGATCACCCCTTGAATGACAATTGAAGTCCAAACTTGAGGGTAAGCCAGGGTTCTATAATTTACAGAGCAATCGGGACTAAAATGATGGTTAAGGTTAAAGCCTCATTTATCTGAATGAAAAGTACGCTGTGTATACTTGTAACTGTGTGGTAGCAGAGGGTTAGAAGAACTTTTTTTGTTGTTATTTGAAGAGAACCAGATAGGGGTTTAATTGAGGATATACTCAACCTAGGGTACCTTGAGTGCAAGAGTCAGTCACAGAACGAACGGTACACATATGTACAGTAACAGTTATTACTAGACCAACTGCCATTTTCAGAGCATGCCCACTACCTCTCCCACAGCTGCTCCTGCTGAGTAACGGTGATGAAGACACCAGTCCAAAGTAGCCAATACGTACCAAGCCTTCCTTTTTTCAGGGATATTGTATTTATGTTTAAAAGAAAATGATCATTCCTGAAAAACTGTTCTTTGTGTGTGTTTATTTCTTGTTGACGAGTCCCTCAGATACCAGACATGTTATTATCAAGCTGCTTGTACACTTTTAATAAAAATCAATGTAAGTGTGTTTCACTCCTCAGGCAAAAACACCCCATGCAGAAGACTCCCTATGGTGCATTTTGGCAGTTCTATAAACACAAAAAACAGATACTTTATACAGAGCACCCCTTTGTTCCCTGCTTCTCATGGTATTTTGATTAAGCACCAGCCATTTAGGGCATCACTGCAACATTTGATTAAGAGAAACTGACATATTTACATAATAACAGCTGCTCTTCTTTTAAGTCTTCATAAACAATCTAGGGATTCTGGGAAATAGTCTGTGGCTTTGAAGCAGTTTAAAGTTAGGAATATTTTCTTTAAACAGTTTTCTTTTTTCCTTCACTATTAAAAAATTCATTCTCTGAGGACATTAAGGACCATTTCTCCACTAGGCTGTAAGCTCCATAAAGCAGGGCCTGTTCCTGTGCTGTTGACTAATGACTCCTCAGAGCCCAGCAAGGCATCAAATCATCTTTCATGAATGCTTAATTTGTATCTCATGACTTATTATACTAATCTATGTTGTCAGTTTTCTTACTGGGCTATATATCTACCAATAGAAAACACTTCTCATATAAGAATAATACGTATTCTTAAAATTATCTTAAAAATCCTTAAAAGTGTATTCTAATATTTTCTTATTGAAAATGTGAAATTAACAATAAAATGTGGTCCAGAGAAGTTCAGATAGTCATGAAAGTCACATCATTTGACTTAAAACCACCCTCCTTCACCCAGCCCAATGTTCTTTGAACCACATTCTGCTGCTCCACCTTTATGATTCTGTAAAAATCAAATTTAAATGAACTGTCTTTCTGAAAAGAATATTTTCAGGTTCATTAAGAAAAACTAAAAACTAGTTTGTAAAAGTCTTTTATTGTATCCGTGCCACACATAGTAGTGAAAAATAACACTCCTAAAAAAAAATGCTACCTTTTGCACATCATTTTATTTTAAATAAAACTTCAAATACTCTTACATAGGTACAAAAAAAAATTCTGATCTATCTGCCTCCAACAGGCCACCACAACACACAGTAGATAAAACACAGTGGCTACAAATGTCTTTTAAATTTATTTCTGAGGCAAGGCAAATGGGAAGGAAATGTTTCTATGAAAAAATACTGTGTGTGTAGGAAATTGTCACAATTTTATTCCACATGGATACAAATGATTATACTTTAATTTAGGCCTTGGTGGCTTAAAATTATGTAACAAAATAGAAAAATGGAAAACTAATATCCCCTACACCCTGTTTCAAAGGCAGGCACTACCAAGATCAAGGACACGCCACAGTGTTGGTAGAGGAAATTACTGTACAAGCTGTATAGCTATAATTACCTTCAGACTAAAATAAAATGCTACAATCCTTCTAAGGCATAAACAATAATGTCTCCAAACAATATGTACACATAATACATATTTAAAACAAGACTCAATATAAACAATAATGAACAGTATATACATGTCAATTTTTCTTCACTGTCTTGAAATACAATTTAACTACACAAGTGATGCAGCAACATATATATATATATGTATATATATACACACACATATATATATATATATAAATGTACTTGTAACTTTACAGTAAAGTTTATTTTTGGTGCTTTTATAGCACATCAGTGTAAACAGTTTAACTTGGCTTTGTTTTATATTTTAAAACATTCCTTGTTGTATTTTCAAGATTTAAAGCAATTTTCTAGTTCTTCCTTTTCACAGAAAACGAAGATTCTGGATGTGGTTTAATCATAAATAATTCATAAAATTAAATACATTCACTAAAAAATAAACTACAAAGTAAAAAAATGAAAAATAGATATTTATTGAGAGGGAAAGGAGAACCATTTCCCACATTAGAGCTCTGGTGTTGAATATTCAGTGCGATTTGATATATTTTAATTGCTATTGCACTATAACACCCTTACCTTTGAAAATTCTTTGGGTGTGCTTCCCTGTTCTACCTAAATTAGCTGATAAATCACACAAACCAATAACCAAGGGCCTTGGTTGTTGTAGGAGTGAAGCCTTTAAAAACGGTATCATTCTTCTGATACTTTTATTTTTTGTGATACTTTTTTTTAAGGAAAAACAAAGTCATTATGCGTGTGCCTTGCACATTTACGTAAAATATAGTTCACATTGCTGGTCTTATTTGTCCTTATTGAAAAGGAAAAAAGAGAGATTATTGTAGCTTCGGCTCACTTTGAAAGTATCTGTCCACTTTTTTTCAAAATACTTCCTCATACTGTGGCCTGCTCTGCCTATATCAGAGTCATCTTCATTAAATGTTTCACAGTTGTCAAAAACAAGCCTGACATCGAGAGCAAAGGCTTCCGGGTTTGGATACCTGAAAGAAAACACATGATTTAGAGGTTCTTTTGTAGGGTGGCTTTGTTTTGTAAACAAATGAAATAATAATAAAAGGTAAAATAAAAAGTAAAACTGAAAAGGTAAGAGAAAAAGATGAAGATAACTGCATTTAAGCAGAAATAAAACACCTTGTATCCTATTATAAATGGAACATTTTAAAACTTCCATGTGTTCTGGACCATAAAGGATATAAAGTCAGGTTAAATGGAAAAACAGATTTCTCAGAAGATCAAGATATATTTCAACTAACTGGCATTTCTCCCCCCATCCAATTTCTGGTTTGACTTGTATTACAATTCTGTCCCAGGACTCATACCTTTTGACTAGTTTAACTTTTCTGACCAATTGTAGCGCTTGTAGTACCCTATGATCCACATTAAAAAATACTCAGTTTCAGTAGAAATAATGTAAATGCCTCCTATGCACTATACACATTATAGCTGCCCTGGAGCCCTCACGTACATCCCAGGACATGCCACTCTGTGTTAAATCTTCCCCATTTTCTCTTTCTCTTCTTCAACAGTGCTCTTTTCTCAAGCAATGGATTATGATGAACCCAAGAACAAAACAGCATGTGTTATCCCTTCACAGAGCAACACTATGAGGATCTGCCCTTCCATTGGAGGCACTGTGGAGCCAGTGCTTTTTTGGTGTGATAAGCCTGATTCTCTTTCTCCGTAAGAGCACAGACAAGACAGAATGGTGAATGCACCTGCCTAAACTTTTTGGTAAAAAAGGGCTGCCTTGTTTCAAGCCAACTCAAGCCACATCAATACATTTTGAAAGAGGGCTTTTGGATATCCAAATTTAAATTACTTCTAATATATGATATATGATAAGCTGAACACTAAAATAATTTACCTATTAGAAATACCTATGAAATACACACTGAAGCTCTGAGCCCTGGTAAAATTGGAACTATTTCTTTCATCAAATACCTTATATAGTCTTTTTCACTCTCTCATTATGACATATGCAATAATAAGAGAATTAAGTCAGTACTTATATAACTTCACCCATTTTCCTATTCTTCTGGGAATTATTATTTTTATTTAGGTGAAATTCACGTAACATAAAATTAGCCATTTTAAGGTAGATAATTCAGTGGCACTTAGTACATTCCAAACATTATACTACCACCACCTCTATTTAGTTTCAAAACATTGTCATTACCCTAAAGGGAAACCTCATAAACAGTTACTCTCCATTCCTCCCTATCCCAGTCCCTGGAAACAACTAATCTGTTTAAACAACGAATCTGTTTTCTGTCTCTATGGATTTACCTATTCTGGGTATTTCATATAAATAGAATCATACAATGTATGAGAATAGTTTTTATAAAACATTTTAATGTTACTCTGAGAAATATTTCTCTCTTTAGACTCTTCCTTACTACAAGAAAAGGTTAATGATTAATGTTAGGGAGACTGAAATCCAGGAAAAAATTCTAGGTGAGATTCTAGGTGAGGTAAGTGCAATGCTCACATCTGTGCCGTCCCTTCACAGGACAGGGCAGCTGATGGAACCCAGACTCATTAAACTAGGCACTACCTCCCCTCTGTTCTATAAAATTCTAATTTAAATATTTGAAATATTGTTCTGAGTTTGGGTTCCAACTCATTAGTATGGGCTTAATCAAACAACTTGAAGTTAAGAGGAGCTTGAATCCACTCAATTTTGCCTCAAACATGGCTGGCGTCATGAATGGGATTACACAGATCTGCTCCTCTCCATCTGCCTTCCTCTGCTGTGTTCCTCCTCCATTCACCAGGACTCATTCTCAAAAGGGAGCTCCAATTTTTGGTAATGTCTAAGGTCTGTTTTAATATCTAAGCCTGTGTGTTTTGGGCATTTTGAGGCTGAAGTTCATCCTCCACCCAGGGATTGGAGAATCACAGAACATAAAGTCGAGTTAATTTAAACACTGGTAAAGTCTTCCTGTGTAAGTCTGTCCTGGCCATGTGCTACCCACTTAACATCTGAGTTTTTTGATTAAAAAAAGCAAAAGAACTAGATCCTATCTAGACACCAGCTTCTGCTGTTTCGTTCACATTAGAACCAATATTTTAACAGTCTTAAATGTTTTCTGAATTTTAATTTTTTAAAAGGTAAATAGACAGAATCTCCTATACACTAATGATAAACTAACAGAAGGAGAAATCAGGAAAACAATTCCATTCACAATTGCATCAAAAAGAATAAAATACCTAGGAATAAACCTACCCAAGGAAGTGAAAGACCTATACCCTTAAAACTACAAGACACTCTTAAGAGAAATTAAAGAGGTCACTAACAAATGGAGACTCGTCCCATGCTCCTGGCTAGGAAGAATTAATATCGTCAAAATGGCCATCCTGCCCAAAGCAATATACAGATTCGATGCAATCCCTCTCAAATTACCAGCAACATTCTTCAATGAATTGGAACAAATAATTCAAAAATTCATATGGAAACACCAAAGACCCCGAATAGCCAAAGCAATCCTGAAAAAGAAGAATAAAGTAGGGGGGATCTCACTCCCCAACTTCAAGCTCTACTACAAAGCCATAGTAATCAAGACAATTTGGTACTGGCACAAGAACAGAGCCACAGACCAGTGGAACAGATTAGAGACCCCAGAAATTAACCCAAACATATATGGTCAATTAATATTTGATAAAGGAGCCATGGACATACAATGGCAAAATGACAGTCTCTTCAACAGATGGTGCTGGCAAAACTGGACAGCTACATGTAGGAGAATGAAACTGGACCATTGTCTAACCCCATATACAAAGGTAAACTCAAAATGGATCAAAGACCTGAATGTAAGTCATGAAACCATTAAACTCTTGGAAAAAAACATAGGCAAAAACCTCTTAGACATAAACATGAGTGATCTCTTCTTGAACATATCTCCCCGGGCAAGGAAAACAACAGCAAAAATGAGCAAGTGGGACTACATTAAGCTGAAAAGCTTCTGTACAGCGAAAGACACCATCAATAGAACAAAAAGGAACCCTACAGTATGGGAGAATATATTTGAAAATGACAGATCCGATAAAGGCTTGACGTCCAGAATATATAAAGAGCTCACACGCCTCAACAAACAAAAAACAAATAACCCAATTAAAAAATGGGCAGAGGAACTGAACAGACAGTTCTCCAAAAAAGAAATACAGATGGCCAACAGACACATGAAAAGATGCTCCACATCGCTAATTATCAGAGAAATGCAAATTAAAACTACAATGAGGTATCACCTCACACCAGTAAGGATAGCTGCCATCCAAAAGACAAACAACAACAAATGTTGGCGAGGCTGTGGAGAAAGGGGAACCCTCCTACACTGCTGGTGGGAATGTAAATTAGTTCAACCATTGTGGAAAGCAGTATGGAGGTTCATCAAAATGCTCAAAACAGACCTACCATTTGACCCAGGAATTCCACTCCTAGGAATTTACCCTAAGAACGCAGCAATCAAGTTTGAGAAAGACAGATGCACCCCTATGTTTATTGCAGCACTATTTACAATAGCCAAGAAATGGAAGCAACCTAAGTGTCCATCAGTAGATGAATGGATAAAGATGTGGTACATATACACAATGGAATATTATTCAGCCATAAGAAGAAAACAAATTCTACCATTTGTAACAACATGGATAGAGCTAGAGGGTATTATGCTCAGTGAAATAAGCCAGGCAGAGAAAGACAAGTATCAAATGATTTCACTCATCTGTGGAGTATAAGAACAAAGAAAAAACTGAAGGAACAAAACAGCAGCAGAAGCACAGAACCCAAGAATGGACTAACAGTTACCAAAGGCTGGGGAGGATGGGTGTGAAGGGAGGGATAAGGGTGGGGGGAAAGAAAGGGGGTATTATGATTAGCATGCATAATGTGTGTGGCGGCACAGGGAGGGCAGTACAACACAGAGAAGACAAGTAGTAATTCTACAGCATCTTACTACGCTGATGGACAGTGACTGCAATGGGGTAAGTGGGGGGGACTTGGTGATGGGGGGAGTTTAGTAAACATAATGTTCCTCATGTTATTATAGATTAATGATACCAAAAAAAAAAGGTAAATAGACAGAATCTTTTGAAAGACTGGCATTTCAGTCTCCAAATAAATAAATTAGTCATTTGGTAAATTTCTTAAATCCTTTGATACATATGAGAAGAATGTTGGTCATTAATGAGTTAAGTTTTCCTCAACACTTCTAAATTGAATATAAATTATAGAACATGGTCATTTTCTCCCAAGGAATATCCAGGAGAGATCAAATAATACACTATAAAATAGTGCTTTAAAAAAAACCAGTAAGAATCTAATTAAAATATATTTTAGGGTTATTTTTCATGTAGAGTTCCCTTTTTCTCTATAATTACTGGTGAATTTGCCTGCAGTTATGGACACAGGCTACATTAAGCAAAACCAGTATATAGGAATAAAGGGAGCGGGGAGAGTGGAGTAAAGGGCCCGTGCAGCTCCACGGCTCCTGGCCATTCTCATGTGCAATGCTTTACATGGGCTTGTTCTGTAAACAAACAGCCTCATTCCTTCCTGTGGTTCCAAAATAGTTCAGTGTCCAGAACCAACTAAGGTCCACTAACAGTAGTTACACTCTGGCAGGAGTTTGAAGTGGTTTTAACAAAGATCATTAACTGTGGCCAGGAAGCCACTTTACCCTTCAGATAGGATCACAAAGATGATATTGTAGAGAGGAGCAAATAATAGTTTTCTTCCACTTTTAACAAATGCCTTTTTTGTAATCTACAACTCCTTGTAAAGTTTTCATTACTTAAAATTTCCAATGATCCATCTTATAATATCTGAAAATATTATGAAATCAATTTTTGTTAAATCCACATGAAATGGTATTGATATTCCACTGATACACAATATAAGCTCCAGCTTACATGTTACTTAGTCACTTTGAGAGGCTTCTCTGATACTTTTCCTTAACTCCCAGGCTAGGTTTGGTGGCCTTCCAATGTCAAAACAGCTTTATTATACTATTTCTAATTACTGAAGTAATTTTAATTGACTTGTCTTCCATATCATAGTACCCTAAGCACACATATATATCCTGTCTCTAAAGGCAGGGCCTTTAATTAATGTATTCTTGGCTCGCTGTAAGAGTACCGAGCACATATCAAACATTCAATAAATACTGAACCAAAATGATTTACTTACTGTCCACTACTTAATTTCTCTCTAATTGTGGAAAAATCCATAGGCTTCTTAATAACTTTCTTATAACCAGGAACAAGTTTCAAGTTTACAGGAAGTAGAAAAGGCCATGCATCTTCATGAGTTTCCATTTCAGTAAGGATCATACTAGGGAAAATAATGTTTGAAATCAGTATCTATGCTTTAGAGCTATCTATCTTTAGTAAAAATTGAGCTTTCATTCTCTTTCAAGTAAAGACAATGCAAACTAATTTATTAAAAAAGATGAAAGAATACATTTACTTACAGTACAGAGTTTACATTACATAGGAAAATTCCTATTTATACAAACTGTCAAAAATTCACCTTCAATATGGTGGAAGGTTTCTAAACAAACACAGTGGGATGTTATGAACATACAGGACAGGGGAACAGAAATAATACCTGCAAAGAGTCAGGTCCTTAGAGTCATCTCGTTTTGGTTTCTTAACAGAAGTAAAACTTTCTTGTTTTGACAAGTTACCACAAGTGTTTTCCTCCATTTTTCTTTTTCTCGGGTCTTTGCTGCCCCTTTTCAGTGAACTGCTTGCAGACGCGGAGTCTTCATCTTCAGTGTCCCCTGTTAAAGTTACTTTCTTGCCTTTCTTTGACTCATTAGTCTTTTTTCCTTTGACATGAAGTTTTTTGATTTTTAAAGTTTGACCACTTGCCTTTAATTAAAAAAATAATATATGAGGTATAAGAAAATAACTGTCTATAGACCTTCTATTATTTTAAATTATGAAACTCTGACAGAATAAACAAAAAGAATACTCTTTCTCACCCAAAAAGTTGATAGTTTTATTATTTTCAAGAGAGATCTATGAATTTGATCTCTGATAATACTAGGCTAAAATCTAATGATGCATGAAAACTCTAAAGAATTCTTAAAACTTGAAGATGTTGATCTCATGGCACCATGTTTGGTGCTACAGAACTTAGCAGTTTTCCTTTAGACTTTGAACGAATCAAAGATACTATTCTTTTGAATGAACTGTATGTCACTAATTGAATGAATTTAAAGACTATCCTTTAGAGCACAATATAATTAAGAACAAAGGTGAATATACATAGAAATATAGAGATTACTAATAAGAAAGTTGAGGAGGTTATTAAAAAGCTAGCCAAAACATGAAAGAAGGCTCATGAAGTGTCAAATAGGAAAAAGACTTTTATAAATGGTCAAATCTTCTGGAAACTGTTATTTTTCTCAAAAAAGCATTTGCTGTTAAGAAGAGAGTTCCAGAAACTTGTGGTTCCCAGGTGTGAACAAAGCAGTGTTATTAAAGATGAGGAGAAAAAAAAAAGATGTGTTTTTGGGGAAAACAATAAAGAAATAGCATAAAATAGATCATATTTGGAATTAAAGGGTATGAATGCCAGCTATGCTCTGTCAGTAATTAGCTATGGAACTTTGTAAAAAAATCTGTGAGGCTCTGTTTTCTTGTCTGGAAAAAAGATAAGTCACGCAGTTGGTAAGGTCGTTCTAGCTCTAAAGCATATGGAAAAAAACAAACAAACCCCAATGTGACCCTTATGCAATCTAACAATTTGTATGCAGCCCATCAATGTAACAATGAATATCCACCCTCCTCCCAACATCCCCCAATTTAGAAATTGGGAAATAAGCCTGTATTTTGAGAATTAAAGTTACAATGAATATAATAGATCAAAGAAGAGAAATATGCAAGGTTACTGGTAATGTATGATTTTTGTTTTAATTTTCTATAATAGTGTTTATCCACTTTTAGAAAACTATTTACTCCTTACCTAGACTGTTAAGAAATCTTAAAAAAAAAAATTATAATGTGGAGTTAGATATTCAGTCTAGCCCTAATTTAAAGTTGCCTATATTCTTGAAATGAACTTGGCTGAAAACATTTCTTTGGAGTATTTCATAGCAATTACCTTGAGGATTTCATGATTCTTTTAGCAACATTTTTTAAAAACTGCTTTTAAGCAATTACAATTATTTGGTTCTCTATTGGGATGTTAAATGCATAATTAAGGAGTTATTTTAGTGGATTAAAATAAGGCAAACTATAAATCTAACACCTTTCCCATACGATATCAAAGAATCACTACCTCTTGTCACTGACTGAAATAATTAAAATGTTTCACTGTCTCTTCTCCATTTAGTTTATTAATTTTTACTCACTAAAATTTGATTGAGTTTTCATATTATACTGAGCTTTTAGAACCCCCAAATCATAAAAAAAGAGAAAGAGAATGCTGAATATATAATGAGGAAAAAGTCCATTTAATGAAGATTAAGTTAGACTGAATAGTTGCTACACAAAAAGAACATTTCAAAAAAAAAAAGAGAACATTTCATGGATAATGGGCCAAAGCTTCTAGTTCCTATTCGAACTAAGATGTTACTTGAGATCATTTTCTAACAATACTCACAGTAAGAAAACAGGAAATTTAAACCACAGAATCCAAAGACTTTTGTTACAAAATGGTAATAAAGTCTCTTTTTCCATTTATTTAATTATTGATGTTTCTCAGATTACTTCACTAGATTGTGCACATAGATAACTTTTTAAAAGCAAGCTTTTATTCAGTTACCTGATTACTTTGTTATTAGACAGAGGTATTTCCCTTGCACCCACGCTTTCTACCTTGTTAGAATGCACAAAGAGGACCTTCAGTATGTCTTAAGCAGGACCTAGCAGATTGTACATACCATCGCATATTTCTGTTGTTTGTACATTTATGTATCAGAAGTTGTAAAGTGGTGGCTCACAGACTGTAAACAGCCCACAGAATGTGTTGTTATTATATTTGGCTCCCATAATGCTTCTAAAAATTCTGAATTTGTTGCCAACATTTAACATTTGGGAGGACATGCATAAAGATCCATAATCTTGAAATATTGGTAGATCCTAGAATACTGGACCTACATGTCTACATGACAACAATTGGCAGGAGTTGAGTGATGACTGACACTTAAATTGGGGTATGACTTCCCTGTTTGCCACAGTCTCAACACTTCTGTGTTATTTGTGTGGCTTTCATAGGCACTGGACTTTGAAACTTCTTGTGTGTGTGTGTGTGTGTGTGTGTGTCTGTGACTGTGTATAAATATGTATACATACACACGCAAGGCTTTTTGATTCAATGTATATATGTTGGCATTAATATGCACATACACACAGGAAAAAAATACTTAATCACAATAATGTGTATAGAAATAGCCATTGGAGAACAAGGTATACAGCATAAAAATTTGTAAATAACCATGAATTAACTAGGAAGATATTTTAAAAGCTTAACTTTAAAAATTCTTATAAATCAAAATAAAATGTTTACATTTTTTATTGCTACAAGAAATATAACACCTAATTCACTACATTTACAAAACTAAAAAGAGGAGAGGCTTAGAAAGCTGTATTTACATAGAAGGGCTTGAATGAGGTCATAGATTTCTACATCTCCTAGTCTATACCCTGAATGAAAGATAGCCAGAATACTATTTAACCAAATTTATCAAAACAGAAATCTCCTACAGCTTACCAGATGATACTCCAAGACTTAAAACCCTGATTTGTTAGTAATTCATAAAGTTTTAGAGAAACTTCCTATAGCTTGACTATAACTAAACTAAAAGATAATTCACATACAACCAATAAAGGTCAAACTGTAGTTGACTATATATGACAAAGATGATCAAATAATAAGAAAGCGACTTAGTAAATATGATGCCATGTGAGACCCTCTGTTATTTTGTAAAACAGTCTAAAATATTATACATATTAATATAAACATGTCACAGAACTTTAAAGTTATAAAAATATTTACACTTGTGACCTTATTTTATCTTTACAAATCCTCGCCAGGCAGATGCTATCCCACTTCACAGATGATAACCCTGAAGCTAAGAAAGCACTCCAATGCTTATCGATCAAGCAGGTAAGAAAACCAGCAAAGGAAACTGAAAAGGAGCAAAGGCAGAAAGAAAACCAAGTATGGTACTAGAAGCCAAGTGAAAACAGGGTTTCAAGGAGGGTGTGCTCTGGAACTGATGGGTGGGTCAGGGGAGGCCTAAGCACTGATCCCCAGACTGACGAATGGCCACGATAGGAGCTCTTTCAGAGAAGCTGTGAAGGTAAGAATCTGACTAGACAGAGTCCCAGAGTGACCTGGAGAAGAGAAATCAGAGAGAATCAGAACAAAGCTGTCCAGCAGGAGTTATTCTGTAAAGGAAAGGAGAGAAATGCGGGAAGTGGATGCAGGAGAAGGGAAGCTAAGGAGAAGAACCCAGGGGGAGAAGGAGATGCTGATGCAGGCGAAGAGAACAAGGGGGTGGGATCTGAGGCACAAGATGGGAACTGGCTTAGGGAGCGGCACTAGTGGTGCATGGCACCGAGAGACGGGTTTTTGTATGAATGTAGTATGATAATAAGCAGATTCATTTGAAATCACTTGCCAGTCACATTTAAATTAGAGACCTGTGAAGGCTCATACCAACTGGTCAAAGCAATATGATAATATAGCAAAAAATGGGTTGGCCGAGTTATAAAGTAAGGAGAGAGAAGTGTGAAGGGGCAGCACGAACTGAGGGCCAGACTCTTCCCTAGAAGTCCCCTCCTTCAGGCACTCTTCTCCCTGTTTACTCTCTTGACCTCATCACTACCAGCAACTACCACCTATCCATACACTCAGTCCCAAACATCCACCTGCCCATTGCCTTTTTTTCTTTCCAGTCCATTCCCTTTAGCACTTGAAACTACTGTGCTAAGGGAAGGAAGGCAGATACAAAAGGCAAAACATTGTATGATTCAATTTATATATAATGACCAGGAGAGGTAAAGCCGTAGAGATAGAAGGTATATTAGTGGTTGCCAAAGACTGAGGGAGAAGGGGGACAGTGACAACTAATGGGTACAAGCATACTTTTTTAGGATCATGAAGATGTTCTGGAGTTAAATAGTGGTAATCATTATATAACTGAATATATTAAAAACCACTGAATTGCACACCTAAAAAGTGAATTTTATGGTATGTGAATTCTCTCTCAAAAAAATCCTCACAAAACTCTGTAACTCTGTATTTTGATGTGTAATTAAAAGGTTGAGTTTTCGATCCCTCTTACCTTAGCAATGCAAGCTGGACAAAACCAGTCCCCATCTGGTATAGCTGTAATCTTAGGTCTATGGCAGTACGTATGACAGCCCTTGTCACAGCCATCACAAAGGAGGAGCAGTTCTTCATTATCGCCCTTTTGACAGATCTGGCAGTACTATAATACATGAGAAATCATTTAAAATTAATACTATTATGAAGAACAGTTATTGGAATATTAAACACACCGTAATTCCTAATTCATATTAGTAATGAACATTCTGCTTGCTAACAAATATACAGTAGCCATACACATCTATGTATCTGTCGTTACACAGATGGGGTGAGCAGTTCAGTTGGGGTAAATGCACATTTCAGGTACACTGCAAAGAACAAAGCTAGAGGTTGAATGCCTGTACACACTTTCGAAGCATGTACACATTAACATATGAAATAATTAACATGACATTAGAGCACATAAAGCAATGAATAGCTTTAATACATGGTGTTTAAATTTTTTAATGTATTTCATTTTTTGCTTATCTTAGCATCCTCATGATCTCCTGAGAAAGAAATAAGTAAGAGTTAGAGTAATTTTCAAGATCAAAACTAGGAAACTTGTATTAGTATCAGAACTATATATAATAAAAAGATATTCCTATATTTTGACTACAATTGTCCACCCATTTTTTTTGTGATTGATTAAAAAACCTGTTCAACCCAGGAAACTTGGGGACATCAACCCAAATCAAACAGATGACACAAATGCAGAAAATAGACCCTACAAAATGATTTCCAAGGGAAAAAAACTTATATAAAAATTAAATCAAGTAATTTAAGAAGTCATGTATTTTCTAGAACTAAAAATAAAATTTTTCTCTCTTGAGAGATTTCTAATACCATTAAGAACTTTAAAATCTGTAAAGAGAAAATAAAATTAGTAAAGAGAATGCTTTTTCCCAGGCATACATATTCTGTATAACAAGTTTCACAAAGAGAAAGGAGGGAAGTTAGACAGTAAAAACTTTCAAGATGCCTTTAAAAAATGGTAAGTAGTAACATCATATATTGTGACATTTCGTTTATACTCCCAGTCACAGTAGAAAATGTCCTGCAACCAATATTTTCAAATAATGAAAATAAACTATAAATTATTTATACTAATTGAAAATTATGTATTCATATATTCTTAAAAGCAAAATAGCTATTCAAACTTAACTACTCAATATAACACTGAATCTTAATCTGCAGTCTAAATAGTCTCTTATATAACACAGTATGTACACTAATGATAGCTTGAAAATCTTATCAAAATGGCAAATACAAAACTATTCAACTTAGTAAATACCTATCAAATATATGAGATAATACGTATCAAATACATACGTAATAAAATTGGCATGTGTACTAAGAGCAAAAGCTGCAGTTTAATGTTCCAACAGTTTTATTTTATGACCCTTCCTAATACCATAACACTAAATACCTTAATATGGTATTATTTCTCCAAAACTGAGTTACATCATTACATGTTCTATTATAAAAATATTCACTGAGAAACATTTGGAAGGTTATACTTCAACCCCTCTAACAACAAATTTAATTCATGAATATTAAGTAAATTTTTTTCTAAATATACTAAAAATACCATGAAGTCTCTTTTTCTTCTCACATTTTTCATTTAAAAATAAAATTATTTTCCGATACTTATTAGGAAGGGGTGACAGATCTCAAGCTCATATCACTTTTGAAAAGTCACAGTAAATAGCTCAGAATATGTTAGAGCAAATGTATTATACTTGATTTTAACTCCTTTGCTGCCACAGTAATAAAATAGTAGCTGTTGCCTATTGTTTAACATTAGCAACAATATGAAGAACACCCTGGGCAGAACATTATCGGGAGGCAAATTACGTCAGCTCCTTCTTTCCTGGTAAGGCAGGTGTCTGGCTAAACGGGTACTTCTAAAGGTTTTGAGCACTTAAACATTTTGCTGGGACTTATGAAGATTATTATAGGCACTGTTACACCTAACTAAAGGTTACAATGTGCTCATTAATCTCTGAACATGAAACTCTGCCTTCTTTTTAAGGTAGTTTCACAGCACATAATGTATTATTGAACATTAAAAAGAGAAATGAAGATTATGAGAGACGGAGTTAATGAGAAATGTGTATTAATAATGTGGAAAAGGTTGTGAATTTGCAAAAACTGAAAAAATTCTGTAAATTACAAGAAGTACGTATACTACAAATAAGCAGCTTTTGGTACAGGTTTTGTTTTTTTGTGTAAAGGTTGTAACAAAACTGATCACATTGTGATAATTCTCCTGGTAGATGAGAAAAATAGCCATTCAAATTTCATTGTGTTGTAGGAATTCAATATTTTTTCATCGTTTTAGCCTAGACTTCACCAAACATATTTGTCTAAGGTGACTTTAAAACTGATTTTAATAGTTTTTAGAAGAAAAATTATTTTTACCTGGTAAAAATGCTACCAGATGAACTTAACACTGACTTAAAACTCATGGTAAATACTAGTCTAGATTAGGAAAGACTGAAATTTGAAGATATTGTGAAAACTGCAGATTCACTATTCTGTGGACATTTTAGGAAGAATTGAAAAAATACAGAAGAAACCGAATTTATTTCTATAGAATGAATAAGGCCTTCAGTAATATAAGCACAGAGATGAGAATGAAGGAAAGAATGCTAAATTATTTAAGGATCACTTCTTTTCTTTGGGGAATGACTATTGTTGAGTAATCTTACTTCCAGTCATTCATGCAGACAAATGTCAAATGTTTGAATGTTAAAGCTAATCTATAATTTAAAAGCAAATGGTGAAGCAATTCACAAAAGTCTATGTATAATAAATATTTCTCTATGTGATAAGAGACAAAAGGGACACAGACATGATTTAACACATAGTATTTGGTGCCTGGTACAAAACAGGGGTTACTACATGATAGTGACTAACTGGGCTCAACCACAGAAGGTGAAAGAACAATTTTAATTATTAGAGAAAAGACTTAAAGATCTACTCTTCATGTGAGCTACATCTGATATCAAATACATGATACCATTGCATAAAGAGCTCTCTGCTTATTTTGCAGTTATTATCTAAGAATTTCTTAGTATTAAAAAAATTAAAATTGATAAAAACTTAAGGTCATTTTAAGGATGCAATGAATGTATAGTACAGGCAATGTTAGCAACTGCCATGTTTACAAGAGTGAAATAATATTTAGATTAACGACTTCAGAATATTTGGATTAACAACTATTATGATTAGATTAACAACATAATTAACTATTATGCTGACCAAACACAAAAGACAACTTCAGTCCATTATAAACAATATTCAAAGGAGGGAGAATCAAGATTAAAAGATAAACACATTTGATAGATTACTTCAAAAAGCTCAAAACAAGCAGGAAAGTATCAAACTATACAGCATTCAAGAATTAAGAAAACTCAGGTACAGCATACATTATTCTGACAGTAAGAAATGTAGAATTAAGAAAAATCTGGAGGTTGGGAAAAAAACAGGACAGAGTAAATTAGTTATAGTATTTCTTAAATAAAAACACTTACAGCTTTCATAATTGATTTTTCCCATGCTATGGATTTCTGTAACTGCTGAATGCACAGAGCTACCTGTGCAGCACTGCGAGCTTCTGATAATGCCCGTCGCCAGACCCTGAGACCGGGAACAATAGCCTCTTCAATTCTGCATTGAAATATAGAAAAATTAAGTAGGTCATGTCCACACTTACGGTTACTGAATCTGAAACAATCATCATACTGAAAGCCAAGTGATGATGAAACATGTAACAGCCAGTAAGTATAAGGTTTAAGCAACTAAATTTGATGTAGTGCACAGACCGTGGCTACGTGCCTCAAAGCTTAGTCACAATCAGGTAAATGTAAGATTACTTCGCAGGATTATCAACACACATAACAAAACAAAAAACATTTTTTACAAAGCACCATGCAAATAGCATGATCCATGTGGATCACAGACATACAAGAAGATACATAGATAACAGGCAAGAGAAAATAGGCTCCAATTAGCAAAGAAGCACAATAATTTTTCAAGTTAATTTCAATAACCTACCCGTCATCATCACCACTAGTGGATGGTGCAGGAGCAGGGCCAGTAACTGTGCCCACATTATCCAGTTTGATCTGAATGGTGGTACTTAAGGGGCTCTTCAGATACCTTCTTTCAATGTTTCGCTCCAACCCAGACAGCCTGGTTACAGCTATATCTAGGGGGTTGTCACTCTTCCGCTCTAGGGCATGCGCACTGCTTCCTTCTTCGCCAGTAAATTCTCCATCGTGCTCCTTGCACAAGTTAGAAAATGACTTATGTTCAAAATAGACCAAGTCCTCCCTCTCTGATGCCGGTTCTGGACACATCCAACCCTATATATCAAGAGAGTAATGTTATTATGGTTTCCTCTTAAAATGCCTGACGGGTGAGTTACCTTTACTTAAAATACAGCAGCCGACACCAACAGACCTCAAGGATCATTACTAAAAGTTTTTACCTTGTGTTTCCTAATGCTAGGTAAAAATAAGAAAGAAAATTATTAGAAAGAGTTCTAAGAGAAGTTTGAAGAAGAAAATTTAACAACTTTTGATATTATGAGAGGTAGAGTGGAGATCAGCAAAGTATTCTGAGGGACTCCACACTAACAGCTTATTCTTTCACGGGCCCCTTTAAATGGGAATCTCTCGACAGCAGGGACTGTGCCTCCTGTTCATTTTCATTCCTTCAGCCACTCCTCCTGAACAGGCCCTTGTACTGCCCATCCTGGCCTCAGGGGCTCTGCATAAGCTGCTACATTTGCCTGCAGAGCTTTTCCCCTTTCCTCTGCACCTAGTTAGTGACTCCACTCATCCTGTGGCCCTCACGTGAGAATTTATTTCTTCAGGGAATCCTTCCCTGACCTCTTTTAGGAGGTAAGCCTCTCTCTTACAGACTCTCATAGAACCATGTAATATCCCATACCTGTGGCAGTCACAGTTTGATACTGCTGTGATTATTTAATTAATATCTTTCTACTTCTAAATTCCCTGAGGGCAGGGACGATGTCTACTTTCACTCATTTCATCTCCAGCAGTGTGAAGGCAAATAATAGACACTCAAAATACATGTTGATTGAATAAATGAACGAGCTTATAATTCAGCTTGCTTACAATGATCTTTTAGCTCAAAACCCTTCAGAGTCCCTAATGTTTAGTAAAGTCCAGTTCTCATATTCCCATTCAGGCATCCTACACTGCAATCAAATTCCATGACTTGTCATGCCACAAACATGTCCTGAGCTTCCTGGCCCTGGTGCTCTGCCCAGTTATCAACTCTTCCTGGTACGGCATTCCTTGTTCTCTGTCAGAAGCTTCTCCATCTTCTCAAGTTCCATCTTGACTTCTACAGGCAATCTTCCTTGATCTTTCCCATATCTCCACCAGAATCAGTATATTCTTGTCCTAAACTTATGAATGACTTTGTATGTCTTCACTATCAGTTACTAGATTCTGCAGGGCTGTATACATGTATTATTGCCCTAATGTATGGAATGCTTTCTGAGGGCAGAAACCACATTTTATTCAATTGTGTGGTGTCCACTCTCTGATGTAGAATAGGTACTTTGTAAATGCACAGTAAGTAAAAAGCAGAATGAACATTATCCTTTTTATTAAATCTCTGTAGAGATAATTATTTTTCTTACATATTGGAATTCTTCCTCTTTACCTCAAGAGAATATTCATATTTAGAAAGTATGGATGAATTTATAAAGAGTACACATTAGTGCATCATATATGTCATAACAAATGAACCTCTTTTGTTATGGAAGGGATATGAAATTGCTAAATCAAGGGAATCCTATAAATGTAATACATTCTGATTTTTGCAAGGCAAAAGACAAGAAAATGAGGACTGAATTAGATTTAGAGAAGCTAGAAGGTTGAAAACTGTCTGCAAAGCCCTGTGACAGACACAGCTTGCCACCTCAGAAAAGGTCCTCAGTGCCATTGTCCAAGAGCTCTCTATATTTGGCTTATCATGTTAATATACTTATGAACAGCTCGGTTCAACTATTAAATATGCAGGTGACTTAACTAGGAAGGAAGTTTAATATTCTGTATGACAGGACTGTGATAAAAATAGTTTCATATGCTGAAAAATATACCCAAATGAAATTAATAAAAATATAACAATGATAAATGTAAATTTCAGCTTTGAAGTTTAAGCAACCCATCAAAGCAATATTGGATGTGATACAACACACTTAAAAGCACAATGAAAGATGCAGAAGGATTTTTTTTTAATAACACATACTCAATGGAGCAATGGTATGATGTGGATGTTAAAAAGCTAGTACAAATTGGCATTAAGAGAAGTACAGTGCCAGTTTATACATCTCTGTGTTTAGTTAGGGGTACATTTTAAGAATATAGACACTGGTGTTTATTCAGAAGAGAATCGTGGACCTGGAAACCATTTCATGGGACCAGTGGTTGAAGGAATTAGTCAGCTTATAAAAGAGAAAACTTAAAGAGAGACACAGGAACTGTGTTTAGAGGAACTAGAAGAGTAATTCGTCTTTTTACATGCTCTCAACAGAATTAGGACAAGACTCTTGCAGATTTTCCTACAGTATACAACAGAATTTACATATTTTCAGCAATATTGAAAACAGAAATGAATTCATCTAAGTAGTACCAAGCTACCTGCTTAACGTGTCTTCACAATGGCTAGTTCCCGGGGCTGACCACATAAATATTTTGTTTTTAAGAAAAGAATTCATTAAATCTTTTATAGATGTTAAAATGTTTTGTGGTTATTTCCATCACTTGTATTTTTAGATTCCTCAAGACTAATATAACTGCAATTCATTTCTTAAAAAAACCATAATAATCCCATAATACCGTATTAACAGGATGTTAAAACATCTCACTTAAAAAACCAATTTCATTTATCTTAGCTAGTGAGTACACAGTCAAGAACATCTAAGCAGTTAGTAATGTGTTAAGGTCAATAAACCAAAATCTCAGTATGTCACCAAGAAAACGTTAGGCCCATGCTCTGACTTTACATACAATTTTAAAAAGCTGATGCTACACTTTCCCAACCAACAGCCAATTAGAACCGGCAAATTAAAACCAGACGGGGATGGTTATTGGAGGAAAGCAGGGACAGTAGAACCAACCAAATTCAAACCAGCAAGTAGTAACAACCAACCATGAGAGATGATGAAGACAGACTACGGAAAGCAGATGTAGTAGTTTAAAAGGTAAAGCACACTAGGGCCTTTTAATTTATTGTAGGGGCAAAACCTCTTCACAGTCCCTGAGGGAATCATTACCCAGTAACTGGTCTTCATACTGATGATCCGGTGTCACCAAGAGAACGTAAATCAAACTCTCTATTCTCAATTTAAAAAGGCAGGGTAACGGTGACCTAAGCGATCCAACACACATGTTAAAAAATGATGGCACTACATAGAATAATTTTCATTTCTCCAGAAAATTAACTTGTGTAGAAGAAAGAGTTCATTTGTTGAAGATGCCAGATAAGTGAGGCATTTTTATATTGTATTATAGTACCAGGAGGAGGATACATATAGTTTGCTAGCACAATTTCAGTAAATGATAAATTTTTGTTTCCCTAAGTTGGTAACTATGTGGTAAAAAAAAGGTACATTTTGTTAGCTCTGGAAAAATGACATTTTTTGAGATGAGATCCTCCAAAGTTTCTGAATGCCAGTATTAAAGTAATTAATGCAGCTAATTTGTAATCATTGGTAGGACAGTATCATGGCACAAGTCTCGCATTCTGAGTGAAATATGAAATATTCAAACTACACAGAAACATTTTCTAAGCCTTTTCAAGTGTCTGTCTCATGCTTATTCATCATCCATCCATTTATTCTCAGAGACATCACATTATCAATTGAGAAGAGACATTTATATTCTTTTTAAAAGCAAAAATTTTTGCACAAAGGTGAAGCTTTTCTTTTGTTGTCCTTTTAGTTTCAATCATTGCTGTGACATGGTAATGCCCAGTCAGTAAATAATTAAAACTTTACATATATACATAGGATGTATGTGTATCACAACATAACATATTTTATAATTAGCAGTTTTAAATCATAGAGTGAAAGTTCAACATATAACATGGCTATATAACATGGCTTGCATACAAGACAATTACCAGGCATATACGAAACATTGCAGAAGCAGTTTGCCATTACATTGATCATGGCTGAAACTATGAAATCCTGCTTGTGGTGAAGAACTGCAGACCAGAAATGATATTTTTAATGCCACTGAGGAGGTGGGCAAGATTTAGTAAGAAGAACTCGGGAGGACAGACCTGGTTTGATTCCACATTTAGCCACTTACTATATTATGACCACTGACAGGTTACTTACTCTGAGACTTGTTCCTTACCTGTAACATGGGGGAAATTAATCAAAGTGAGAACATTTAGCGCAGTAACTGGCATATATCAGGCATACAATAAATATTAGTTACCTTCCATTATTCTAAAAACAGATTTTATTCCAAGTCAATTTTACCTTTACTTGCAAACTTGCTGATGCGACTCTCCTTTCCAGATCTTCTACCTGCTGAAGAATCCTCAAGTCCACTCCCATTGCTTGTTCTTCTACTGACCAGTGCTCCACAATATCTCGAGTTACCTGGTTTTCTTCATTTTCATTTAATTCAATAATGGTAACTATATTTGAAAGGAAATTTATTTTAAAATCCACTTTATCTCTCAATGATTTCTTCCAGAATGTGAATGAAATTCCAGGGGTAACACGTACACATGTACATTTAACACACACAAATTCACTTGTGAATAAGCAAGGCAGCTGACTCTTGCACAAGGAGGAATAAGTACTCTTCTTAAGAAACAGAACAGTATGTCTGTAGGTTGTAACAAACTATCAAAAGTAGTACCAATTTAAGAAAATGTAAATTGTTTTCGGGCAAAATAGGAAAAAAAAGCCTATTAGTAATAAATTAAGATTAAGACATACTAAAATATGCTTTAAGATAAAAGAATTACTTCGCATAACTAAGCAAGAGAGCAGAAATCTCTTTTAGGTGCCTACCATCCTTATTCTCGATGCAGGCTTGAGTGATGTAATCCAGGTGTTTCTGAATTTGTTTTTGTAATGCCTGTTCTCTTATTCCTCTGGGATGTAGCACTTCGAGCAAAGCTTTTAAATCCTCTGGGTCAGTAATTCTCCACCAGCCAAACTGCATTTCTAAGCCAAGATAAACATGTAGGGCATTTACAGATATTCAGAATATGAATTAATGGCATGATACAAATGAAAAAATTTATAACTATATAAAAGCATAAAAGATTCAGCTATAATACAGAGATCTGTAACAATACAATAAAGTAAGTGGCTACAGCAAACCCTCTCAAGGTACCCACCTTCTGGAATAGGCTTTGTAATCTACTGGTTTGGCTACTTCAAGAGCTGCAGGTTGAGTTGAAGGGACTTTTTCGCTCTGTGGTACCGGAGATTCACTTTTGTTTGACACAACACTGGGAGTCAAGAATGCATCAGCGTTTCCTTCTGACAGTCCCAACCCTGATCCCACACTAGGGACAGGTGGTAGGAATGGAATACTGGAATTAAGCACGCCCGTGGGCCCCCCACAAAACTGGAGTCCCATCACAGGTACTCCACTTTTCATCTGGAAAAAGAAAATATTTTAAAAGTAGAACAACCTAAGAAGTCAGGAAAAATGTTTAGAATCTGAAATTTTTAAAATTCTGAAAAAATATTTTCATTTACCTCAATTGGAGGAAAACTAAATACAATAGCAACAACATTAAATTCCATCTTATTTGCTCCCCAAAGTAATTTCCCTTTTAGAAATACTGTAACAGTAACAAGTTAGAAAGTAATTAAGGAAGCCTTTGCCTTAGACTTAGACTCCTAGAAATCAGTAGTTCTGATGAAGCTTGGTGATAAGCAGTTCCAACTCTCTACAGTTTTCAAACTGTGGCAGGAATAATACTGTAAATATTCAACTGATTCTCCTTTAGTGTTCATGGAATTAGAGGTTAAATACAGCAACATAAAAACGAGTTACAATTAGCAGTACTAACCTGAAGAGGTGATAAAGCAAATGGGTTTAGGCCAACGGGATTTTGAGGAGATGGTCCAAGAGGAGGAGCTGGGGCAGGCGAAGGTGACTTGGAGGGCGGGTGGGACTGAGGGGTCGCTGAAGAAGCAGTGGGCGCGTTGGCACGGATAAGGGAAGTGTCATCACAAGGTGTTCTTGGCAAAAGGCTAAACCATTGTCTACTCTTTTCAGTCAGTGTTTTTAACAACTGGTCACTGGGGAGAGGACTGTAGAACTTTCCTGGATCACTTGAACTAGTACCGAACAGATTCGAGTCTGTCTTTTCCATGTTGTTTTGTGTTACTGTTGACTGTATGCTGCCCAGTGAGTGTTTCCCACTGTTCTGGTGAGGCAGTGCACACCCATTTGCACTACTATTTGGTTTGGGGGTCATTACATCTGACTCAGGAGGCATCTTAGCTACTTCTAGAAGCTTGCTTAATTTGGAAAAAGAGCCAGGTTTCTGAAGAAATAGATTTGTGTTATCTTTTTCTTTAGGATCTTCCTTTTGCCCACAACGATCTGGATTTGAACAATTTAAAGTGTCCTCAGAAGTCTCAAATATTTCTTCTTTGATCTGGATATTTTCTGCTTTTTTTAGTTTTTCTCTTTCTTTTGCAATTTCTTCCAGTCCTACAAAATCGAGAAGTATTATGAAGATCAGTTACTCTAAATCAAGCCATACTATATTTATTATTACTTATCAAGTCATATGCATAAATACTTTAACAAATTTCTCTAGGTTACTTAATACTCTTCAGTTTTTTCTCTTAATAGACTAGCTTGTTATGCTCATTGGAAAAAATTATGCAATTTTGTAATTAACCACAAAAAATCACAATAATAGAAAATATTAAAAGCCATAATATACAAATTACTACTAACATTTTCGTATTAATTTTTCCAGTTCTCTATGCATATATGACATCCTATTTTACAGTTTTCCATCCTGTACATTTTACTGAATAATACTCTTTAAACATTCTGATGTGTCAATAAATATATACCTACACCATAAATTTTAATTACTATATTCAGTGGAATATATCATAAATAATCAATCTTCTACTGATAGCTATTAGTAGGGTCCAATTATTCATTATTATAAACAATGCTATAATGATGAATGATCTTAAATCTGTATCTTTGGATTTTTTATTTTCTGATTTACTTCCTTAGAATATATTTCTAGAAAAAAACTGAGTCCTAAGATATTACTTTTCAGAGTTTTTGAAATATATTGTCAAATTGCCCTCCAGAAAGTCTTACACAAGAGCATCTGTTTGCCTACACCCTCAATGAAACTGAAGACTATCAGTAACTTTTGTCTTTGGCAATATCCGGGAGGTGAGAATCTAAACTATATTTTTTTCTGATCATTAATAAGACTGGATATTTTTCTGTAGGATAATAGGTATTTCTCCTTTGTGAACTTCTTGTCCATATTTTTGACCAGTGTTTTAAAAATAATTTATAAGAAGTGTTAGAAAAATATAAACCTACTTTATTTAATTTGAAAAACGATGTATGTTCACAGTAAAATATTCAGTAATGAGAGGATAAAGTAACCCTTTCCTGCCCTACTCCCTCCGTTCCTATTTCTAATCTTCAGATGTAACTATGGTTAATCAATCATGTCCATACATCCTTTGGGAAATCTTACATGCATGCACTATTAGTTTGTGCTGTTACATAAATGGGATGCTCCTGTTTTCGGCAACATTTTTATTTGGATAAAATCCAAATTCCTAAGCAAGGCCGCCAACACTCTATATGATCTGGTTATTTCCTTTCTTGGGGCCTTTGCACTTGGTATTCCTCTGCCTGAAATACTGTTTTGTTGACTGGCTCCTTATCCTCTATGTTTCACAAAGGTTTTCTCTGATTACTCTGTTTCAAGTAGGGTCCCCATCTTATTATTCACCTTAGAATATCATCATCCTTTATGTTTCTTTTGCAGAATTTACCATTATACACATTAACCTAATTTTTTATTTTTTATTTTATACCCCACCCACACACTACAATTTAACTCAACAAACTTTACTTGAAGGCAGAGCAGTATTATATTGCTTTTGCAGGATCCCAGCTACCTAATATGTGGCTGCTTTGAAACTAGGGCTCAATAAATACTTTTTGGATGATGAAATAAAAGGTTGAATTTACTATTTTCACTATTTACCTTAGATTGCTTTCCATGGTGAAACATATGACTGTACTACATTTTCCTTCAATCAGCTGCACAATATTCTATTATATGGAAATATCATTATTTATTTATTCATATATGTATAGCTTGCAATGCAAATTTCCTTAACTTTGTACAAATTACTAGCTAGCAAGGAAGTACTAATATTTGTGCTTGATTTACTCTGAGAACTAGTATCTCAAAAACCATTTTCATATATCCAAAAACAAACAGACCAACCAACCACACTAGGTCTGAGACTAGTAGAGGATTTTGAAGGTGATACATTTTAATAGCCTATTCATGGGGTCATTAACTTTAATATCCAAATTCTTACTTATAGACAGTTAAACCTCTTATTAAAATGTAAAATTATTTTTAAAAACTTGGAAGTTTATAAGGATGTTAAGTATACAGAGATTCTTTAGATAGTTTTTCTATCACCGATTTCACATAATTCCCTTTCTTTCCAGCCCTTACTATGCTTCCGATGGACACTTAGGCTGGCTCCCTATGTTGGCTATTGCAAATAGCTGCAACGAACATGGGGATGCAGATATTGTTTTGAGTTTACATTTTCATTTGTTTGGATAAGTACCCACAAGTGAAAGTGCTGGGTCATATGCTAGTTCTAACTTTTTTGAGGAACCTCTATACTGTTCCCAATAGTAGCTGCAACAATTTACATTTCCACCAACAGTACGCAAGAGCTCCCTTCTCTCCACATCCTCACCAACACTTATTTCTTGTCTTTTTGATAAGAACCACTCGAACAGGATGAGGCGGTATCTAATGTGGTTTGTATTTTCCTGACAATTAATGTTGTTGAGCATCTTTTCAGGTACTTGTGGCCATCTGTGTGTCTTCTTTGGGAAAATGTCTATTGAGATCTTCCAATTGTTTATTTTGCTATTGAGTCATATGAGTTCTTTATATACTTTGGATATCAGGCCTTTATCAGATATACAATTTGCATATATTTTTTCCCATTTAGTAGATTGCCTTTTTATTCTGTTAATGTTTTCTTTTGCTGTTCAGGGGCTTTTTAGTATGATCGTCCCACTTACTTATTGATTTATTAGTTATTTAGTTTCTATTTTCCATGCTTTAAAATATTTTTATGTTTAAATATTTTAAGCAATCAGTTAAAAAAAGAACTCACTACACTATCCTGTTAACATTCTGACCCATCCATATCAATCTTTAAAAATAAACACAACTGAAGCCTCTAAGGGCCCTCCCTGATTCTATTTCTATCAGCAACTTGTACCCTGGGAAGGCAGACCATGACTTTGATGCAACATTCCAATACGTGATTTTATACTCATTCTTCATATACTTTGAATCCACAAGAAATAAATTACTGTGCAGAAGAGTAACACTGCTTGTTATATGCCAACAATATTTACATGCCAGCCACTATTCTAAACCATTTTCAATTATTATTAACTGTCCTTTGTGCCCCATGAAAGATTTTTATTAAAATAAGAAAAGGGTAGTTATATTGTTAAAACCAACTGTTTTATATAGTATCTGTTCTAGACATCTATGTGATTAATCAGTCCCTTCTTTACACTGGACTGTTAAACTTCTACATGGATGGCATGGATTAATGTTTTGTTTATCTTTGAAACTCCGGTGCCTAGAAATGCCTGGCACATAATGAGTGTTTAAGAAAAATGAGTTGAAAGAAGTTTTTGCCTCCCTATACCACCCTGGGGCAACTGCTACATGTAAGCACTGACTTAACACTTTGGCCCCATCACAATTTACACATTTGAAAATGCCCAGACATAGTATTCTGAAAAATTCAATTCAAGACAGTTTCCTGAGCCTATAAATGCACTATGTACTACACTAGTTAATTTAACAGAAATGGAGCCAGAAAAGCATAGTTTACAGGTAGAATATGAAGGATGTGTGATAATACTTAAGAAAGTAAGAATTTTAATGGAGAAGAAGGTAATCACAAATTTCAAATACATACAAGACTTCAAGATGAATGAGTCTTATGATAAGGATCTTAGATTTAAGCAGTTTACCTCCAGGGCTATTGTTAGGATGGATGGTTGCTGCAAAGGTTAAAGAGTAAAGCACATGTTGGAAAATTTGACAGTGGGAAGGAAGAGAAATGGAGCAGCAGCTACACAGTCCAATACAGGTAAAGATCTGTGTCCACTAAATGGGTGGATGTCAGAAAGTGCAGAAGAAAAATCATGGACTGGAAAGGAATATTTATCAGTGAAAGGGGCATTATGAGTTCAAAAGAAATGAAAAACAAGGTTTTATAATGTTTATCCACAATGCAAATTTGATTCTGGAAGCACACAATATATCAAAGGAGTAACAGGGTTTTTAAATGCATGGTTTGTTATATTACTTTGTAACAGATTAATGGCTCCTACCTTCACCACTCTCCATGCCTTCTACAAAAATCCCCCCACACTGGGGAAGAATCCAGTACTGACGTCTGTAACGATCCTGGCCAAACATCATCGAACGTAAAGAGTGAGACGCATCAAAGAGCTCCCTTCTGTACTGACTCTGTTGCTGTTAAAAAATGATGCATACAATTATGCTATGGGTGTTAAGCGCTTTAAAAATTGGTATTTAAGTGACTTTATACTTATCATGGCTTTAGAGCAGCTAGATTTCACTATTGAAGAAAGGCAGCAAAAGAACTAATATCACACGTCTGACTTCAGTTCCAGTAACAGTTGTAAAGACAGAAATTACTTTGAGGGTAATTAGAATATTTTTGTTGCCAAGGATTAAAAATGTTTTGTTTTATTAGATATCTTATAGTAAAGCATGTCTTATATTTGGTAATAAACAATGTGATCACGTGTTTCACTGAGCCAAAGAAAACTGACTCAATTCTAATGATTACAGTGTGTAACAAATAATACTCACATATACCTGTATTTGCCTATTTTTATACTCATGCTGCAAACCTTAGGCAGCACATGACTAAATTTTGGAATAACTGTGTGATGAATCTAATGACATAAAATGCAGATATCTCATAATACTAATCCTGAAATACTTCACTAATGCTACTGAAATTCGGTTTTACATGAGAAGTACATACATATAGTTTATAGATCCAGTGCAAATAAAACCTACAAATACACTAATGTTAAATAAAACACAGGATGCTGAAACTATTACCATGAAATCTGACTGAATTTTAAAAGTAATGAATTCCAAGAAATAAAACCATGCATTTATTGATATTTTGTATTTAAATAAAGAGCTAAAGAATATAGCTCTTGATTAAGTTAGTACCATGTCTTAAGAGGGAGGCCTTTAACATTGGCAAGAAACTTTTATGGTTTAATTGTGAGAATGTTTCTGGAGCTCTCCATTTTAATTACTTACAAGAAGCTTGCTTTTATTTAGCAGTCAGAAAAAAGGAATCCCATACAAGGTGGATTTTTAAAACACTGCAAAAATGATGTAAGCTATAATCTGAAAAGTGCTTACTTTACTCAGCTTTTCAATCTGTTTTTCTAGCTCTTCAACACTTGCTGCTTGGTCACCTTCATCCTATACATGATTTTTCAATCTGTTTTTCTAGCTCTTCAACACTTGCTGCTTGGTCACCTTCATCCTATACATGACAAAATACAGTATCATTTACCGGTTTTAAGATTTATTCAATCAATCAGTGGATATTTAATGAAGGCCTCCTATATGCAAAGCACTAGGATAGGCCCTGTGGACATGAGTCAGCCTCAGCTCTCGGTTCTTTGTAAACTAATCATCTGGTAGGGAGACACATGCACATCACACTATGAAAATAAAAACCACTACACAGAGGAAGCCATAGGGACCCCAAAAGAGGTAGAGATTAAGAGTCATGGAGTTCAGGAGAGGGTGAGATTGCTTTTAGTGGGAATCTTTACCGAGAGAGGCTACATGGAAGAAGTTGTGTCCTCATTAGCTACCGAAGAATGGTTCGGATTCGATCAATCAGAGAAAGGGCAGGGCATTCCAGAAAGAGTCTGATGTATCTTGACATGAAAGGTACATGAAGAGGTAAGACAGGAGATGAGGCAAGGATGAGTTCAGGGTTAAACGATCTAGAGCTATAAATGCTTGACCATGGTCAATAACGTGATCCTTTGAGGGAGGTTAAACGTGAGAACTATGCTTACAAAGATAATACGGCAATAGTCCTAAGATGGCCTGGAGCAGGGAAAGGATTAACATTGTCAAATCTGGTTAGTATTCCACTGCAGTGATTCAAGAGGGAGGGAGAATGTGGGACTTACATAGGTAAAAGAAACAGAAACGGAGAAAAGCACATGGATGTAAGAGAGTATTACCTAATTAGAAATGTTAAGTCATGGTAACTCATGGGTATGAGGCAGAGAGGGGTGAGGGAGACAGAGGAAGGAGTAAATTATGGTAAGAGTTTAAATCTGGGAGACTGCAAAAATACTGGTACCATTCACCGAAGAAGTCATTTTTAGGGCAAAGAAGGTTAAGTTATATTTTGAACACATTGAGCTTTTAGAAGAAAAATAATCCCTACAATATATATTACTAATTTCATAAGTGGTACTTTACTAGTGATTACATGAAATTTTTCATTCTAGAAAATGAATATAGGAAAACAACCACCAAATTATATGTTTTAGAGGGAAAGCATAAAGTAAAAGGTACATGTATTTTCTTTGTATCTTAGCCATGCTACTTCCTATGGGCAAACTACTTAACTCTTCTAAGACTATTTCCTTAACTGTAAATTGATAATAACATTTCCTGTAACATGGGGGCATCTGTGAGGGCTGAGAAGAACAGATCTGAAAGTAACCAGCAAACTTCCAGGCACACAGTGTGCAAACTGGTTACTTTCCCTCTTTCTGAAAATTGTATCTAGAAAATGCAGGTACTTCTTAGGTTTAAAAAAGTAAAATTTGTTTCTGGTGCTCATTTTCTAGAAGCATTTTTAAAAAGCCACACTGCCACCAACCACTCATGAGCAGGTATTTCTGGATGAGTAGTTATCTCCCCAACAAAAGGAAATGAAAAGAAGCTTTAGTATTAGCTATCATTTATCTACTTCTCATTCAGTTTAGGGGAGCAAGTTACAGAGGCATTTAGGCATACTATTTGTGCTAACAGTAACACAATTTCTACTTCAGGAAAGAAGCCTTAAAAGAGAACAGGCCCAATGACCCTCAAATAGATAATTACATAATTACATGTCTGTATGGTTCTAAAGTGATCTTTTGACTTGCAGGGCAAATGTTTGATAATACGCTTACACAAAAATACAATTCAAGCAACAGTAATAAAAAATACTTGCAAAAGACATCAAAGTAACTATGTATCAGTCAAATAAACTTAGTGCTGTTTCTAAGACTCTCCCTAAGATGAAAAGGAAGTAAAATGCCTACTTTTCATTTGGACACGGAGTTTTGGCTAATAGTCCTTATAATTTTAAGAGATGTGTAGAACTTGAAAGGTCAGAGAGAAAGGCAAGGAGACTAGGCACAAAGAACTCGTCTCTGCTGTGGTTCTCCATGATTTCCCAACCAAAAGAGAGGCCATTGTATGTCCCTATGTGTCAAAGTTCAATCATCCACATAACCTGTTACCAGGCCAACTTGTGAAGTTAGAGCTCACGTAGGTTTCAACACAATTCTAAGGTTTAGGTATACAGACTCCATGTGCTGAAGGAATGAGGAGTGTGGAGAATGGAAAAGTACTGTTTCAAAGGGGGATGGACTTAGTCAAGGGCAGGACCTTCTAACTGAAAGCGATCACACGGGTCTCAACGGAAAGGCTCCCTGAAATTAATCTTCTAGGGAGTTTTAATTCCTGGCACTCTCACTAAACTTTAATCAAGAATCTAAACCTACTTTTTGAGGAATAATGTATCTATCTTATCATTGGGCTCATTAAATAGTTAAATTTTTTAAGGCAATTGATAAGTGGCTACCAGTTCTTCATCATAACAGATAACTCTAAAATCACTTAAAAGAAATGTTATTTTGACTTGTTAGGTCCTAAAATAATTATCTTAAAAAGTTTTTAAACTGTTTTCTCACATTAATAACATATACATTTGCCAGGATTTTGCTCAATGAAACCCTATAATCTAACTATAATTCAATAAAAGTCACTTTAAATGATACATGTGGTTTAAGAGACATTAATGATATTTAAATAATTAGTAACAAATTTTAGTAGTGTTTATCTACCTTGCCCCATTGATTATTTTCTTTATATCTTCAACCCCCTCTCTTACTGACTCCTTCCCTCAACCCGAAAATCATATTTAGCCTTTCACATCTGAGTAATCCTTGGTTATCTGTCCCCTTTAGGAACCACCTTTTCCTCTGAGGCACAATGCTTACAGAAGTCATCGCCACCTCCTGTTGTTCCCGATCCACCACCACCCGGCTCCTGCTCTGACCCGTCTAACGACTGTGCTGCCACTGGTCCACAGGGACCTCTGCCTTGCCCGATCCCACAGACACTTTTGATCCTCATCACACTAGACTCCTGCTACATTAACATTGTTTATCACTCCCTCCTTTTTGAAATGTTCAGTTTTCTTGATTTTTGCTACTACTACATGTGTAGAAAAGAGTTGACATTGCAGGTCTGACTGCTCTCCTTTGAAAGGCCCGCGTACAAGGCTGGTCCCTGGCTGGTGTCTGGGAACTTGGATTTCAGAGGGTTTCCTCCCACGCTGATAGATTGGCTCACTGGAACCCAACTGTGCTAACAATGGGGTGTATACTGAACACGTTTTTCTCCTGGGAGTTTTATACTTGTCATAACTCATTCCTAGGAGACTTAAGCCCATCCTGTGTGACTCCACTGGGAAAAGACTCTTTAACAGTGTGGGTCTGGTTTCCTCTGGGCTGTGGCTCACATGCCTTTTCTCTCTGCTGATTCTGATGTGTGTGTGAGTCTTCCTAGTGAGTCACTGATTCTGGTGATGGCCTCAGAGATCCTTGACCCATTACAGACATCTCCTACCTCTACGATGGCTCCTTCTTCAACAAGAAGCCCTACAGGATCTTCTGAAATATTGACATCCCCTGGGGTTCCAACTTCAGTCTACTACTCTGTTCCCTAAACCAATCCCCCTGTACAAAAATCACCCACCTCATGATTTTAAACTACTGTCTGTGTGAGTAACTTCCAGATCTATATGTTCATGACTGAACTCATCTTTAGGCTTTCAGATTCTTATATCCAACTTACTGCAGAACTGCTGCATAGGCACCTCAAACTTAAGATGTCCAAAATAAACCCACCATCATTTCTTGTCTTCCATTGTCTGTTCTGCACTCCCCTCCTCCTCTATCATCTATTTACTCTGCTCCTCCTGATTTCTCTAACTCAGTTAATGGCAAGAATACCATGCAGCCTCCCAAACCAGATGGTTGGGAATCAATCCTACCCTTCCATCAACCTACCAGTTCAAATACTACTCATTCTTCTTCCTAAGTATTTACTGAAATCTTTTCCTCCTTCTTCCCAACTACCATCAGGCTAGTTTGGGACCCTACAACTCATTAAACTCTTGCAACATCTCCTGACTGACCTTCCCACCTCTGATCTTGCCCTACCCCAAATCTATTTCTATTTTCCATGGAGCTGCCATAGTGAGCCACTAAAAAAAGCAAGTGTGACTCTGTCATTCTGTTACTTACAAAGAGGAAGCAATGGCTTCCTCCTACCAAAAAAGTGTAAATCCTAGTTCACAGTTGTTGCTAGGAGGCTCTCTAATAACAATGAAGCACTTGTCAGTCACTTAAAGCGCATCGTGGTTTCAGATTTCTACGTCCGTTTATGCTGTTCTTTCTGCCTGAGCACTTCTCTACGGGTTCTTCCCCAGGTTAACATTCAGCCCACCTTTTAGCCTCAGCCAATGGGCCCAGAAAGCCTTTGTTGAGGACCTATTCCTCATAAAGGTTCAATGCCCTTCCTTTCCGCCTGCCTAGCACAGAATAAATACCACCAGCAAAGCAGTTAACATGTAGTACATTACATTTTCTTATGGCAAATCTTCCTCAGTGAGACTGCAAATTGAGAGAGGACTTTTGCTACCTTACTCATCTTTGATCAAAAGTGCCCAGAGCGAGGCACATAATAAACTGATGCTTGAGAAATACATCAGTTTCACTAAATGTGACAATACTTTCAAGGCATGAAGTATTGTACACATATAAGCTAGTATTTTACCAGAATGAAAGAGGATACCTGAAATTAAGAATCTACATGGTTCTTTGAAGAACTCTCAATATGTTCTATAAAAAGAAAAACTTGACTTTGTTTATTCAGTGTAAGCCCATCCCATGTGTGGGCAATTATTAAACCATCACAAAAAACTTTACGAGGTGATTGTTATAAATATTCAGTTTTCAGATGAAGAAACTGAGGCAAGTAAGCGTCAAAATGGAATTCAAACCCAAATCCACCTGACCCCCAAATTCTGCTGTTTTCAGTATGTTATGTTATCTTTGTCAAGTAATAAAATCTACCTAAACTTGATTACCTCATCTTCACAGACATCCGTTTTCTTTCCTTTTTTGTCTTCCTCCTCCTCCTCATCGTCATCAGCCTGGTCATCGCTGTCATCGTCGTCTTCGTCGTAGTCATCACTGTCCCCGCCCTTCCTTCTTCGCTTGCGTCCTGCTGTGGGGGTGGCCGCCGCGTGCTGCTCTTCTCCAAGATCGATGCCACCTGAAGTGTCTCTCTTGCCTGCTTTCTTAGCATAAATGATTCGGAGCCTTTAAAATGTAACAAAATTATGATGTACAAGAAAACCTTCTCTTCATACTTTTTAGAGAAAATAATGTGAGTTTTAAGCAAAAATGCCTTATGGTGAGTAATAAGTCAATGGCAATAAAATTAGAATTAAGGAAATTTAAGAAATATGTTTCCAGAAATTACAGAATATATTGACTTTTAAGAATTATTCTGGATCTCTTTGGAATTAGAATATATTTAAAAAATAAAACTTAGCTGAAAAAATTAACTCTAGCAATGACCAATGATAATTCCTGATCCCATGCTATCAGACTGAATAAATTTCTGTTCAAATTATGCAAAGAAATATCCTCTTACATAGAAATTGAGTAATTTCAGCATTATATTTCCTGGCGGGAAACTAATTAAGCTTTAATTCTGAATACATTTGGATATTTTAGACTCTATAAAAGCAAACTTTAATTAGAAAGCAATTTTAAAAAGTGGCAGTTCTAAACAGATTCTACTTATGACAAAAGTAACTTGATAGCCAACAACAATCTTAGAAAACGTGATTGCTTGACTTCTTTGGGAGCAAAAATGTAAACTGACTTTTTTCTAAGTTTGAAGCATAAGATGTTCAATGACTCTAATTACAACTTTTGTCCATTGCAGACTCTCACCCTAGGTTTTATTAATTTCTTAATTCATCTTAATTAAGCTTTACCTTTTTTTATTTCTTAGACATAATAAACTTTAAATTCTGTGTTTGGAATTTATGTTTTACTGGGGAATTTGTACAATGGAAACAGTATACTAACTTTAATAAAACAGGACTTACTTGCGGAGTTTACCTTCTACCATCCATTTATCTCTCCTCAAGTTTGACATATAATCAGCGTTCTTGTCAATTTCACTGTCAATGCAAAAATTTATTAGAAGACAGAAATTAATCCATTATGCAATATGTTAACATGGTGAGTAAACTGTTGCCATTTCTTGCTAAGTAAAAGTGATGTCAATGAGTAGCGAAAACAAGTGAAAAATTATATCAATACAGTATCACAGCTAAGAGATGTACAGAAGACTTAGTATGTCCACCAATGGTAGAAATGCATGGCTCTGAAATATACAGATTGATCCTTTTCCTAGAAAGGAAAAGAACTAAAAGTAACAATAATTAAAATATGTAAAATAATGAATAGAAAGAACAAGATGAATATGGATTTGTTCACCAAAACTTGAAATACTAGAGTGCAAAATTTACTTTGACTCTTAAATGTAAGTTTTTAAAAAGTACAATACATCAATAAACTAATATTAAATTGTTATTAGCACATAATAAAATAAAAAGCTGGATAATTCTATTAATGGCTATGAAGGAAAATCACATAGTTATTTATCACTGAAAGATGTCAAAGAAAGAAGAAATTCTGAATTCTTGCAAAGGTGCTGGATTCTGGTGCCATAGTAAGAAAAAACTATTTTTGTTTCCTTATATGAATAATTAACAGAATTATTAAGTAAACAAAATGGTTGCAAAGAACATGCAGTAAGATCCAAATTTTCTTTTCAACAGACTGCAATAAATACATTAAAATAGTAGTAGTAGTAGTCATCTCTGAATGGTGAGATTAAGTGTAATTTTTTTTTCTTTGTGCTACTCTGTAACTTTGGATTTTGCATGGGTAATTTGTGTTACTTTGTCATATAAATTATTTCGATTAGACAAATTGAGAACAGGAAGGAAGCACCAGAGAAGTCCAGGCCCAGGCTCACCTCGCCACCCCCCTGCTGCAGGCCAGCTCGCTGATCAGGAGGGCCAGCGCCGAGGCTTTCTGGGCCGGAGTGTGGGCCTGGAAGGCCTTGGTCCTCAGGCTTTCGGTGAGCTCAGTCTGTCCACAACGGGCCTCCAGAAAGATCTGCAAGATCTCGGAAACATTGTCTCGATTCACACCAACATTCAGTAAATGTTCTCCAAGAGCTGTTTNGAGCTCAGTCTGTCCACAACGGGCCTCCAGAAAGATCTGCAAGATCTCGGAAACATTGTCTCGATTCACACCAACATTCAGCAAATGTTCTCCAAGAGCTGTTTTGGCCTATAAAAGTTTGGCATTTTTGTCAGTATTGATCCTAACCATATAGAACACAAAAACAATTAAGATTTAAAAATATTGTTATTATATTATCTATATATTACTGAAAAGGGCTTTATTCATACTTTAAATGAAGCAAAGATAAAAATAGGCAACAGATAATAGACAAGTATTTGAGTACTTGCATTTTTCTATTCGTTCTTTAAACCCTTGGTTAACCGGTGGGAAGGAGTATGTAAATTGATAGGCAGATATCATACCTTCTTCGACTACAGAAACTATCTCAAGCTTTCCCAGGCTTTACCTAGGCGTTCTATCAGTAGTGGTTGCAGGGAGGTCCAGGGGCACTATTACTCTGTTTTCCAGCTTTAGAGTGTCATGGACTTTATTGTCTGGTATACTAAATAGGAAAATGGAAGAACAAGCAACTGGTGCATCTGGAAACTTCTCTCTCCACCATATTATCTACAGCAAAGCTGACTGAAATGTGTATCTTAGCTGGAATTATGATCAATTTGAATTTCTTGAGTATCCACTGAGAGGTACAGAGTCTTAACATGCTGATCTTAGAGGTGCTGCCATTAGCCTCAATTGTTCACAGTGATTGAGAGCACACAGCATAATTTCAAAAGGCATACATAAATTTTAATTCTTTATGATTTATAAATTCTCTTTTGCTGAATATCACTTTCCTTAAGTCAGCTTGGTTTTGGCCAAAAGCTAGAGAAGAATAAGAGTAATCTGGGAATATCTACATTCCCTAGGCTTTATGAACCAGGTTTTCCTAGATGTGGACCATTTGCAACTGAAAGCAAATCTACACTTAACTTTGTGAGATGCGGAAAAAACTAGATCAGTGTATACACTCTTCTGCTAATATGCTAAAGCCAGCTATCAGTGCACTGAGGGTACAAATTAAAATAATTTTTTGTATTTTCTTTTTTTACCTTGTATCCTGTAATTAGACCTGGATCACACACAGCAGCTGACAGGAGCCTCACAAGCAAGTCTTGTACTTTATGCATGCTGTCCCCTAGATTCAGCAATCCCTCCTGAAGAACACTCAGGTTTGGAATATCAGTATTCACATCAAAGCCTAAAGCTTTACTAAAGTCTCGTAAGAACTGCACCACCATGAGACAGTTGGAAAATGTACTTCCAGAGAGAACAAGTCCTGGAATACGAGGCAACTCTGGCAAAGGCTGAAAAATAAAATAAAAAACTAATTAACTAAAAAGGCTATGACTTCAGATCTTCTGAAATAGAACAAGTTGCTGTCTTTCTTTGCTCTTGAATTCTACCAGTGGTTTTCCGTCTAGACTGTGGATTCCCTGAGGGCATTTCTGCAACCCCATAGTACTAAGCACAGGATTTTGAAACCAAGCAACCATCAATAAATTTTAGTTGAACTCAATACGAACTCAGAATTCTGAAAAAAGAACACAAATTTTAATTAACATATTGATAGAACATGGGTTACATAACTGGAGCAACATAAGAAATAAGCATTTCAAAAGTACTTGGCCATGGACATACTAAGTAGGGCACGTGTACTAATTTCTTCTAATGATGGAGACTGAATAATAATTCACGCTTTTTTGGTAGCTCAGAAACTACCGTGTATCTATGGGCCGATGGGAGAATGGTACCATCTTTGGCTAATTAATGCAGATAAATTATTTGGTCCACATGACCAGAACCCATGATCCTATCAAGAACCCAGTTATACTGCAACTAATAGTCTCTAGGCTTGCAGCAAAACACTAATATTGAATTTCAACACTAACATTAGAAAGCAGCCTCTTTAGCTACTTCTCAAATATGCTCACATATTAACATTTTAATGACAAAACTGTAGTACCAGTTGTCATGGATATTTAAGAAGTGAATAAGGTAATAATGTCCATGAATGAGACTTAATAATAGTATTTTAAATTTTGATGAAAAAAAAATGAACTTTTAAATATTTCTATTTCACTGGTCTTTGTTAAACAATGTTCCTCCACCCTGCACTTACTGAAACAACTAACCAATGACCTTTTCTAGTAATACTGTGTGGAAACACAGAACTATGGATAATATCTGACAGCATACAAACCTTACATGTTCCATTTGAAAACCATCTAAGTCTGAATCTTTTTTCTTGAACCATATCAGACATACACATACCATATGATTAAAAAAATTTATATAACAAAGCTAACAAAAGTAAGGCTTAAAATGGACTTCTATATTTGATTTATTGCATATGGATTTAAACGGAAGTAACAAATTCAAGAAAATAGAGGTCATTTAGGATTTTTAAAAAATTGCTCACTATGAGCCTACTAAATGTGTCAACTAACCTATGTACCCTCTCTGGACGTAGGAAAATTTAAACATCCAGTTTTACTAAAACTAGTATTTATACTTTTATTTGTAGTTAAAAGCATTTGTGCTAAGTAAAAATATTATTATAACTAAATCCCCACTAGGATATTTTTGCTTTAAGTGCTTTAGAAAAAGCTGAAAAGAGACAATCATTCTTTGTATTATCAGATGAACATGGCATATAATATAGATGCTATTGACTAATTATAGTATAATTGACAGTATTACAGAAATGATATGCATTGATGATTTTCTAGAAATACCATCTTAACTATAGCCAAACATAATTGATTTCTTCTAATAAGTATGTAAATTATGCCAGTTAACATGATTATCTCGCTCTTTCCAAATTTCTACTTTTACGTATTTTAGCAACATCACACGTCTGTGAAAACAACAGGAGAGAAAACACATGAGGTCCTCTGACTGGACACATTTCTTGGCTTTCAAGGTGATAAACAGTATGGACCCTGGAGTTTAACAAATTGGAGTTTGGATCCAAGGTGCCACTTATTAGTTCTGTCATCTTGGGCAAGTTCCTTCACCTCTTTGTGTCAGTTTCTCACTTGTAAATGGGCATAAATAGCTCTTCTACAGGATTGTGGTGAGGATTAAATGGGAGAATTCATACATAAAAAACATTTAGCACAGTGCCTGGAAAGTAGTCAACATACTCAATGACAGTTAGCTAACAAGTCTAAAGCACTGAAGGAGGTTACAGATTATAAATCCTGATTTATTTAAATATCTAAGGGGGTTTGAGGAGAAGGTAGATCTTTCTGTATCTAAACATATAGGAAGGACCAAATGAAACAGAAATCTTATCTACTTTTATCATTCACCCTTGTAGATTTGTACAGTGTTTTTATTTCAACGAAAAAGATTTGCAGCGCTCCACTTATATATTTAGAATTTATATATTTAGAACTTCCATTCCCAGTGCAGGAGGTCAGTAGACTTACTGGCGGCCATCCAGGAGAAGCACACTGACCTAGACAGAAATCCACTGCCCAGCTGAAAGGGAAAGCCTTCGTACTGGCAGCTCTGGCAGACGAACGAGGTGAGAACACAGGAAAAATTAAATTTAGTAATGAAATGGTTTACATGATAAATTACCTTTTGGTCTGCTAAGCACATGTCTTCATTAGGCTTCTTTAGTTCTTTTGCAATTTCTAATTCTAATCTTCGTTGCTCTAGTTTAAGCTCTTTCTTTAATCTTTTCTCATCACGTTTTTCTTGCTTCAACCGTTCTTTTTCCTTAAAAAGAAAACCATGCCCACATAGTCTCTTTAACCATTATTATGTTTGAAAAACCTTTAGTTAAAATTTAAAAAGTGATCTGTGTTATGTCCATGAACAGAACTGTCCAAGCAGGTTTAGCAACAGACTTAGGATTGCATAGAAATAACTTATTTTGCTTTTCAGTATTGTCACTCTTTGAATTTCAAAATAATCTTATGACTGTATATATTTTTGTGCAGTTGATCCTTGAACAGCACAGGCCTGAACTGCATGGGTCCGCTTATATGCAGGTTTAAAAAAAATAAATACACTGGTAACTTTTTGGAGATCTGCAACAATTTGAAAAAACATTTTCTTTTCTCTAGCTTTATTGTGAGAATACAGCATATAATACATATAACATACAGAATATGGCTGATGATCTGCTTATGTTATCAGTAAGGCTTCCCAGTCAATGGTAGGCTATTATGAGTAGTTAAGTTTCTGGGGAGTCACGTGTTATATGCAGAGTTGTTTCCTTAATGTCACATTGTTCAAAGGTGCAGTACTTTTTCCAATTAAAAAACCATAGCTATAATATGGAACAGAAGGTAAAAGTGTGGTCAATTTTTAGGATAAAAGGGAGATTTCCAAGAAATCTTTGAAAATAGTAGGATCTTTAATACTTGGCGACAGGCATCCATTTTTGTTTACTAATACAGATACTTCAAGGGAAACATGGCGTCTCTAAATTCAGTGAATTTAGTGAACTTATCCACTAATTTAATTTATTATTTAGTCAAATTATTCACTAATTTATTTAGTGAATTTTAATGAACTGTATAGGACTAATACAAATCCTGTGGTTCTGGTGTAAGATGACTCAAAGAACCAGTTTCAAATGGCATATAAAGACAGTCACAACTTAGCACCACACAAGGCCTGTCTCACGTCTTATTCTCGGTGCATGCACCATGCCCTAGTCACACTGTTTGACACAGCTGGGTTGAGAAAAGTCTGCGTGACAGTTTGAGGCACTGCTTGGATGATGATGTGATGATGCTGATGAAGATGGAGGAGGAGAAGGAGAAGCAGCAACAAAGTCAAGACAACAAATACAAGGTGAAAACTGACTCCCTCTGCCCCTTGTCTTCCCCACCCCAAGGGCCCTGATTCAGTCATCAGGCTGTACCTTTGTGTATGTCATCCCCGCCCTGCTTAGAATTCACAGCTCCTCCTTCTCAACACATAAGCCTTTTTTTTTTTACTCTTCCCACAACTACTTCAGGCACTTTAATATTTCTTTCTTGGCTTCCACATAATATAGCATTTATTGAACTCTGGGACAATTATTTGTTTAATGTCTCTCATGTTACTGTGAACTTAGAGTGGACAGAAGAACTAATTTATTCACCCGTTTCTTTATGCACCTATTCAATTCTCAGCTGTACAATTTGCCAGGCACAGTTTTGAGTGATTTTTATCCTTTTCCCTGACTCTCAAGTCCGTATCATTTCAACATTCCTCACCCACTGGTCTAAATATTGTTTTTATTTATGACTACAGTAATTATCATCTGACTCTAACAGACATATTTGGTGTGCTTTAGCATATAAAACTTATTTAAGCATGAATTAATGATTAATTCTACAAATGCCACATAAATAAAGATATGTCAACATCTGTACTAGTAGTCATTGAAAATATTAAATAGCCAGTCTTTTCTCTACTTTTTATATTTTATATCGTGGACAAACATAATTGATGTTTTCAATTTTCATTTATACACAAACCTGTATCCAAAAGCAGAGATAAACACATTTGTTAATAATACTCAGGTTATATTTAGGAATTTTTAAGTATCTGAAATATATTTCTCACATCTACTTCAACATTTCAACAATTTCTTAACCACTTTAATTGCATTATGATTTCATGTGCTTGCAAACAGACCTCCCCCATATCAAAATTAAACAGACTTTATACTCTCTAGAATTTTTCCAGAACTAAAGTTAAAGGTGCAGTGCTACTTTATGCCAAATTTAAAGATGAAATCTGTGTAGTAGTCTCTCTTCCAGACTTGGTATACTTCTTCAAAGAGCAATACATTTACCTTTTCTTGACAAATTAAGTTGCCATGCTTGATCCTACATCTAATTTCTATATTACATTTTGTTGCTATGCCAAATATTAAAGATTTCATAATGGACCGATCTGATTTTTTAAGGTTAGTTCACAATAGACCTTTGACCTACCAGAGGTAAAATTAATTAAACCTATCATGATATAAAAGGAATGCTGAGAGATATTTTAAATTAATGCTGGTTAATCTCAGGGCAATAACTTAGAATTTCCACAAATGACTACAAAATATAGCTCTTGAATACTTTTATTTTTAGATTGACTGTAAATAATTACCAGCAAATAAGTATGCCTCCTCCCATTTTTTTGGCATTCACCTCACCTCCTCCATAGTTTCTAGATGTAGAAATTCTTGAAATAAATGTGGATTTTTGAAATGTAAGTCATTTGTAATAATATACCTTTCTATCATCTTAATTATAGTAATGGAATTTTCTGTATCAAATATTATTATTTCTTAGTTAAGAAGTCATTTAAATTTGATTTCAAACTTCAAACACCTTTTAATAGCCAATGCTTTAAATTTGGAATATATGGAACAGTCCCAAATACACAGGGTGAAAATTTAAAAACGAGTTTTCTACTCCCATAAAAGGTTTATTTTAGGGACTCTAAAAGCAATAATGGAAGTGTTTCCAAAAATCTACAGTACAGTAACAAATGTATGAAATAAACTTATTCTATTTTAGAATTATAAAAGTTTAAAAACCAAACATGAATATAGTAGAATGACCTGTTACTGTAAAGTTTTACAACTTATGAGATTATAAAACAGGCCATTTTTAAGGGACCTTGTTGCAAAGATGCCTGTATTTTTTGCATTTTACGATTCTACTGGGTCTCTTAGGTGTTTGTTCTGGGCATAATTAGGAGAATACATTTCTTTTGACAGCAAGTTGTACTTAAATTTCAAAGACATAAATATAATTTAAGGGACATGGATTTAACTCAGGGTGTAGGAAGAATGCAAGTATAAATAAGATTAATAATATAAGCCATTTATAGGAGACAAGTATAGAGAGTAAAAATGATGCTGAGTATGGGTAAAACAATCAGGGTAATATTTTTAAAAAGGCCTACTATTACATTAAAATATTATGAAAATTAACAAATGAAAAAATTATGATTAAGAAACCCTTATATTTCACATTTTAATAAAAGTTTTACTTTACAGGTATATTTAATAATATTCCAGTCATATTTTCTTAAAAATCCACCAAAGAATTACTCAAAAATCTATACTTAGTTTAGATTAAGTATCTTTAAAAACTTTGTAGAATAGCTACTGCTACATAAATGTCTTCTAAATTAAAATCAAAATCATTAATAATCTTGAGTCAGATATTTTAATATTATAAATTGTAACAATTCTTTCCAAAATGAACTGTTACATGATATTTACATGAATGTTAAATATAAAAATGTAAAATATAAAATCACTTCACATTTGTTTTTAAAGGCAACTGAACTTTAAAACTGAGATTGAGTACAAGTACATTGTGTTAGTATAATGTACAAGTATGTCACATATGTACATTGCCTTCAACTGAAAAATGGGGTTGCTTAAACCAAACATGTAAAATCTTACATTTATTTTTATTCTTCACTGATTAGTATAAATATAGGATTATAAAATATTCTTATGACTTGAATCATTGGGAGGGGGTTATACATTTTTTCTGCTTTCCAATTATTTATTAGATGACTTTTGAAATCTGAACTACTCTCTTCTATTTTACGGTTTTGCCTCCTGAAGTGCTGACACAGTCATTCTGTGATAGATGCATATTTAACAACCTTTGTAGTATATTGATCCTTGGGGAGGCATACCAATGACTCTTTTACAATTACTATGGTTGATTATTTAGTTATTATGAGTAAAGTGCTTATATATTTGTGACTGGTATGGTTTGAGATTCTGTATAAATGAAACAGGAGATTAGAGGTACTTATGGTGCTTAGTCTAAATTTCCAGTCTAAAATTTCAACAATGAAAGCAGATATACTTCATACTATTATTTGAATTATACTAGGCAACAAGCCTTTTTTATTCATCAGGCTAAAGACTATTCTTTCTTACACTGTGTTAGGAAAATATTTATGAACTTTGATGATACATTAATGATTCTTTAAAATTAATATAGTGAGTAGAAGACAGGCGCGTGTTCATCTCCTAGTAGATGGGTGAGACGACCGCTTCGAGGTGGGTCACCCTGATCTCAGTGGTATGGTCCAGTATATTCAGACCATTGCCTCGAAGGAATCAATCATGTTCCAGGTATCAACAAGATGGAGGTTGCATTGTTTTTGTACAACGCTGTTGTTTTGTGACACGACTGTTCTATAAGTTAACAGTCGTATCACATCAAAATTCTGAGCACGCATTTCTACAAACAGCTGCCTCTTCTCTGCCATGGTTTTCGGTCCTGGAGGCGGCAGCCTCCACCAGTCCGGCCCCGGAGCGGCCCCCGTGCCTCCAGCCGCCTCTCAGCCCAGTACGAGCAGCACCACAGGACAGCGCCGCTTGCGGAGTGCAGCTGGGCCATGGTTTATTGTTTCCTTCGCACTTTGCCACGTTAGCTCATTAATTCATGCATTCACTCAACTCTAATTTTCTAAGCACCTATTATGTACTTGGCTCTAATCAAGACTGGTGATATCATGGTAGATAAGACAGACAAGATTCCTGTCCTCATAGATCTTTCATTCTGGGAAGAGAGAGACCATAAACAAGGAATTATATGAGTAAAATGATGGAATGGAGTTCCGGAGGTAGGGCATAAGAAAAGGCAAAATTAGGGTGTTCTGGGAAGACCCTTTTGACAAGTTAACATTTGCTATGACTGAACAAGTATGACTGAACCTCTTGGGTATTTGGTGGAAGGACAGCAAGGTAAAGACCCTTTGTCCAGGAATAATAAAAATACAAAATGACTGGAATATAGTAATAAGGGATAAATTGTATGAGGTAAAGATGGAGTAGAAAGCAGAAACTGGAGTATGTAGGGCTGGTATGACATGGTGAGGAATGTAAATTTATTACAGTTGCAAAGAAGTCACTGGGACAGAGTGAAGATGCAATCCGGTTTACTTTCAGAAAAGATCACCCTTCCTTAAGTTATACTGCATGTATATATGCACATATTTACCTTTTTTTGGTGTAATATTTTGCATGGTTGCTTTGACATTTCTTTTCTGATTACTTATGCCTGACGTTTGCAGCCTTAGTAAGTACTTGTACTGCTCCAATATAGGTGGGTTAATTTTCCTTTAGTTCCCTATCACTTTATCTGCTACTTGGTTATAGTTTAAGAACTTCAGATTGAAGAATGAGTTTTCTGTATACTATTCATGCTTTTTTTGTGAGGACAAAGAAGCCAGGAGAGGCAGAGAGCTGTGCTGGTTTCTCATAGACCTCTCCAGGTTTTATTGGAAGCACTGTACCTGATTCACTCTTTCCGGCAAAGGGTCATATACTTTTCCCATAAGAGGGACTCTTGGGCTTTGATGGGTTCCTTAAAGATTTAATTTTAATTATCTTCACTTAACCTGCGGCTGCTACCTTCTACTCAAACCACATCTTTCCCGCCTCTCTTCAGCAGCTTTTCCTTACTTTCCTCCAAGGCCACATGGGCAAGTACGAAAAACCAGTGGAGGAAGTCCTGCCTTTTGGGTCTTTTGGATACCTCTCAAACTGGGCGCTTACTCCCTCAGATGGTCTGATTTTTACTATTCTCTTTGGTCTCCCCTTCTACTTAATCCTAGTATGTCTGGATATACCGCTACAGGTATACACAATCTTACATTGGTTTCAAATGTACAACACAGTGGTTCAACAGTTACCCTTATTATTAAATCCTCACTCTCTAGTACAGTTACTATCTATTGATGTAGAAAGATGTTACAGAATCACTGACCATATTCTCCATGCTGTACTACTATCCCTGTGACCAACTTATATTGCAATTGACAATTATTGTGGGGGAAATAGGAGGAGAGGGAGGGGTGGGGAGATACCATGCCTCTCTGATAACCATGAGTCACTTCTCTGCGTCTGTGAGTCTACTGCTATTTTGCTCCTTCTGTTTTGCTTTGTTTTTATACTCCACAAATAAGTGAAATCATATGGCATTTGTCTTTCTTCAGCTGGCTTGTTTCGCTGAGCATAATACCCTCTAGGTCCATCCACGTTGTCACAAATGGCAGGATTTCTTTCTTTTTTATGGCTGAATAATATTCCATTGCATGTATGTACCACTTCTTTATGTATTCATTAACTGATGAACGCTTTGGTTGCTTCCAAATCCTGGCTATTGTAAATAATGTGGTAATAGAACATTGGGGTGCATGTATCTTTTTGAATCAGAGATTTTGCTTTCTTCAGGTAAATTCCTAGAAGTGGGTTGTATGGTATTGCTCTTTTTAGTTTTTTGAGGAACCTTCATACTGCCTTCCACAGTGGCTGCCCTGGTTCACACACCCACCAACGGTGGGTGTAGTGGGGTTCCATTTTCTCAGCATCCTTGTCAATACTTGTTGTTTCTTGTCTTTTGGATAGTGGCCGTTCTGACTGGTGTCAGGTGATATCTCATTGTGGTTTTGATTTGAACTTCCCTGACGATTAGTGATATGAAGCATCTTTTTATATGCCTGTTGGCCACTTGTATTTCTTCTTTGGCAAATGTCTATTCAGATACTCTACCCACTTTTTAACTGGGTTATTTGTATTTTTTTGGTTCTGAGGCTTATGAGTTCTTTATATATTTGGGATGTTAGATCCTTATTGGATATATCATTTGAATCAGGACACAAAGGACTTTTCTAGGCATGCTGTAATTCTGGTTATGGTAATAAATAGGTACTTTTAGCTAAATGAATGTCATTCACTCCATTCAAAAAAGATGATTAAAATTTCAGCTAAGAAAATTAACATTTACATTGGAATCCTTCCTCCATCCTTTTATGTTCTAACAGTTATTATTTCTAACCTTTGGCTTGCTTATCAAAGCCAGTAAATCATGACAAACCCACACTCTGAAAAATTTATATTTTGAAGAGCCACTGCTTGAGGAAGAAAATATTAATTTACGACAGGGTAAATATTTTCCTAGAAACATACACTTACTTCTGCTTTTTTACGAGCTTCCATAGCTTTCATAAGCATCATATGTTGTCTCCTTCTCTCTCGTTCCTATTGGATAAAATTAGGAAAATAACCATAGTTAATAGTTTGATTTTCAAGTGGAAAAACAAAAACAAAACAAAACAAAACTCAGTATAGCATGTTTAGCATTTATAGACAAGTCACAGTAAATACTAAATATAAGACAAGAATGGCCAGTCTGTGCATGTTTTAGTTCAGGTTTAGAAAGCAAATACAAGAACAATCAAAAGCAAAAAGGTAAAGCAATGAACATGGAGACAGTGTAAACAGAAGCGTACAGATTTACTTATGGTCAGTTGTGATGCTCCTTCAAAAGCTGGCAGAACAAAAAGCATAATGGTTGGCTGGAACAGGTCAGTTACCTTACATCTGCTATTGGAAAAACCACAAATATGTACTATAGCCAATTAAACTAAAGGTTGTATTGCTCTGAAATTTTTAGATCAGGCAGAAATTTAATATAATCACTTCCCTTCATGGTTTTAGAATTAGCTGTTTTTCAAGTACACTCTCATTTTATAAATGCAATAAGCCACCAACAAATTAGAAAGGTTTTTTTTTTAAAGCTTTTACACCAATTTAGTTAAACTAGCTGTGGTTCATATACCAATACCAATGAAAAGGGACACTCCTATTTACTGATGTCTGCCACTTGATGCACTATTTAAAGCCAAAAAAGCTGCACCATCGGCTATAAGGGCATTTAGAAGGCACAGTATGAAAATAAGATAAGCACCGGCACTAGCTTAGTTTGATAATCTCATTTCATTTCAAAATTTAAAAATCAAAGTTGTAGCATCTAATCAATTCTTTTTAGTACCCCCAAAGGGATATTTATAATATCACTTCTAAAATGTATCTATAAAACCAGAATCTCTTTCATATTCTCTCATCAGCCTAACTCAAAATTCCCATTGTATTCAATGGCAGTTTTGCATCAAGAAAGATGGGAGAATATGGGTCATAATTGTATCTAGTTGTACAGGAATCCAACTTTCATTTTGACATCAGTAACACAAATTTTCAGACAGCGGCCTTCAATAAGGCTTACACAATTCAATTAAAAATCTTGGGGACAGATCATACTTATAGACAGACAAGCAGATGTATGCAATGCACTGTGCTGTAAAGCCATGCAGCAGTATGTAATATGACAGCAGCCAGTGCTACACTTTATGCATTGCTATGACAACCATATCACAACCAAATCACAATGCGGTGTTAGATGTACAAAAATAAACATACCCATACCATATCTAGTCTATGCCTCTCCACCTCCTGGTAGAAAGAGTTGGCACAACATTATGAAACAGAAATCACAGAGTCATGAAACCAATTTTTAACCCCCCAAAAGACACCAATACCAAAGCAAGGCAATAACTGTAAGATGAAGGGAAAACTTAAGCGGGAATCATAATGGAAATTTTTAAGAAAATATTTTCAAGATTCTCCCCAAAATAAGATTTAAGAAAAATCATAAAATGTACATTTCAACAACTGTTTAACTTTATGTCTACAGACCTGATGCTTCAGAAGAACAGCTTGTTGTCTTCTCATTTCTTTTTCCTTAAAAATAAGAAACTTTTAATATATAATTTCAGAGAAGATTTAGAACATGTTACGAGTATTGCAAGTTCTTTTTCTGAGGTTTTATAGTTGTCCATTAGGTTGAACTATATAGAATTGCAAATCTGTAATCATTTTTTACTTATAAAATAGGCAATTTCATATGGTTCTACCTAACACATAACTGTATGACCATATCAAGGATCTTTATTCAGCAGCCATTTAAACTTAAAAATTCAAGGACCTAATGCCACATTTCAACAGCACATTTACTGAACCAACTAAGCTAGATGGTCAGAGCATATCAGATACAACTGGAACATGTATTTTTTTATTATTTTAATGCATGGCACAACCCTCAAATCTAGCTAACTCGAATTCTCTCCACTCTGAATATAAATTCCCCAATACACTCTATAATTAACAGCATCTATATCCTTTTTATACACTGTATGTGAATGAGAGTGACAAGAGATGATGGGTTCAGTCTGAGATTCTCACGCCTGCCTATGACTCAGCGGACCATTCCAGGGGGTGGGGCTTAATGCAAGCTAGTCTATGAATGCTAATAATTTAAGTATTTTTATAAAGGTAAAATCTGGATGAAATTATGATTAAGGGAAGTCATGAAAAAGGGTAAAAATCTAAAGAACAAAGTAAGAGAGTCTATATAGAAAAGGTAACAAACAGATCCCTGGCTTTAGAAAACAGAGTGTGGTAGCTATTTCGTGAACCAGTAGGATCACCTGGCTGCCTTCTTTCAGTAATTACTTGTGAGAAAAAGGGGAATGTAAGAGGTGGAATGCATGCATGCGTGTGTGCGTGTGTGTGTAGGGGAGCAGGAGAGTCCACCTCTCTGATGCTTCATGTCAGAAAAACAAAATGAAAAGACCCTCAAACAACACCTGAATAATTAATAATGGCTACTTTTATTATTGGTAAACAAGTGATAAAGTTAGGTTTTTGTTTCTGTAGGCTTCACTTTTTAATATTAAAGCAAAGAGAAAGTTATAATCTAAGGAAATAATCAGATTTTAGATGCGATCTGAAACATATAAACAACACAAAATAGCTTTGGGGAGATCATTCTCATCCAGCGAAACTATACATAGTATTACTCAACAGTTTGCATTTCTGAGTTGGTGTCTTCTACTTAAAGAGCTCAAGGCATCACATAAAACCCATATATAATGAAATAAGAAATACATACATACAATAAAAGCACACATTATATACATGTATCTGTGAACATTATTTCATATAGTCATTTTGAGGAGTTTTTTTTCCATATAATTGATACTAGTAAAACATCACATAGTTTATTTAAAAAAAATAAAAACTCTGATTCTCCTCTAAACTTACCTTTATTCGTTTCTCTGCCTCCAATAATTTGGCATTTGCAGCTTCTTCCTTCTTTTTCTTTTTAGCCTGTGCATGTAAAATAGGCCTCAAAGTCATGCAAAAGCACCACTACAACCTGAAAATAACTTCGACTTGAAAATGGAGCTCCATGCCTCGCAAGGCACAAAACAGTATGTAACATATATGTAGACAATTACAGATTTCCCCCCAGTTTGTTACATTTAACATACTAATTTCATTTCTAATGTATAGACTACCATTAACATATACAAAAAAATTCTTAAATTCGTAAGAGTATCTCAGCTTTTCTTGTCTTCTTCAAACTCTGTGAAAAGTCTGAAATAATTGAGTGTTATTTTACCTTAAAATTTAATCACAGAAAAAATGATGTTATGGTATTTTTTTGCTTTTTTTCTCTGATTTTTTAAAGTAAAACTTGATCATTGTGAAAAATTTAGAAAACTGGATTTTAATGATAAATAAAAGTTAAAGGATAAATCAGTAATATTTAAAAATGCACATGTCTACTTTCTTTGAAATTTTTTTAATACTTGAAATTTGAGATAAATCCATTACTTAAATAACTCAAATGAAACATATTAAACCTGATTTAACCTAGTATGGTTAAATTCAAGTTTTTTTCTTAATAGAATGGAAACAACCTTTAATGAAGCACATTCTGAATATCAAGCTCATGCTATCAAATTTGAGCTTCATAATCTTAAAGTCATTAACTATCTAGTAGTTTCATAATTATCTAGTAGTAATTGTCAAAGTACTTTAAGACAGGGATATTTTCAATTTGGAGGGTTTTAAAATTAATTTGAAATGGGTAAGGGAATATGTGTATATATTTTTAGAAGGAAAAAACCTGTAACTGTGAAAACCTCAGCTAACTGCATTCCTCAGGGAATAAGCCAATTTTTATGGCAACAGTTTCCTGAACAGCTAAGGGTTTGGGTTATAATAATTTTCAACATTAAAAAGTTTATTTTGGACAAAAGTATTTTGGATAATTTTGAGACATATGCACGTACAGCTTAGACACAGTACACTTAACATAATTTGGCTTTTTCTTGAGGACTTTGAGCAATTATTCTTGATATCAGTTATTACACTACACAGTTTGATAAGAGAAATGCCTTTTGGCCATTAAGGTACTGAAAATTGCTTGCTTTTTAACTACAAGATTACAGACTGTTGCGAGGCTTTGCAGTTTCTGTTTATCCTGTTTTCCCTTCCTGTCTCTGGCTATTCCTTTTGCTGTTGCCAGTATGTCCTTGAGCCCTATTCCGTCAGCCCAGTTCTGTCAGAACTCAGAAAACAAAGCTGGTTAAACTGTTTCCACATTTAACATTTACTTTAACTTTTGTCATGTTTTATTTCTAAAAGAAAAGCAGGTATCTGACTATAAGACTTAATGAATTTTTGAAAAGTAAAGAATATGAGTTTTAGCATATGATCTTTATGACAACTGTATTGGCTATGGAGAGGTTTCCCCTTTCTTTTTTTTACTTTATTTCCTGGATTTTTCCTATTAGGATTAGATAAACTTGCTCAGTAAGGTTCAGAGAGGTCCTTATTCTACGCATTATGTTTACAGATAATTTGTGATGGACATGTTAATGTGTATGAGTGAGAGAACATACTGATAAAATTTTCATTTTTCAGACTTTAAAATACATGACTATATTACTTTAATCATATCAAATTTAAGAATTCTACCTCTAGAATTTGCTGGGCTCGAAGTTCTTTTTCCATTCTGATTTGTTGTATTCTCTTAATTTTTTCCTGTAGGAAAAATTATGATAATTTAAGATAATAAACTAAATACATAGGTGGAAGGTATTTAAATGGAATCAAATAATTAAAGATATAAGTACAGATTTACCAAAGGCTGCCCATGCCAGATATAAATTTCAATTATTTAGTTTAACATTATATATATGTCACTTGTCTTGTCTTAAATTGGTAAGACTTTATAAAATGTCTCAAAACAATTTTAAAATACAAATGCTAAGTAAGTTATTATACTACACAGTTTGATAAGAGAAATGCCTTATTTCTAAATAAGTATATAGAAACAACATAAACCAAGCTGATTAAACTCAAGTCTTTATAAGTATTTGCAAGTACAAGTAATACTCATTTGGAAATAAATATCGGACAGAAGAGTAGGAAAAAATAGTGTATCAGGAATCAGGACACCTAAGGCTAGTCCTGAGTCACTGTCACTCATTGCATGAACTTGAACAAACAGTAACTACTCTTGCATAAAATAGGTGAGGCACTTGCTCTTTTTCTCACTGTCACAATTAAATTAAAAATGCTTAAAAAAGTGCACAGTACATCACAATTGTACAAAGTATTAACAATTGCCATAACATGATAAATGACATTACTTTCAATAACTACAGTAAGCCAAATACAGAAATAATTTGTAATAACTTATAAGTGGTGCTCACATTATCTAAATGTAATGTACTAGTTATTGTTTGAATTCAGCAATCTAAATTTTGATAAGAACTTTACATTTTCATTTTAAAAATTCATTGCATATGCTATAAGCACATTGTTAACAATTTTACATTCATAAATCCCTTTGAAAGTCCCAAATTGGCACTGAGGATACAGTTTTAAAAAAATACACCTAAGTTGTCCTACTTGTAAATTGCAGCTATCCTAGGATTTTCAGAGCCAACAGATTTTATGCTACTGTATATTACCATACCCACCCCTACGTCCAGATGCTAGTTGTACCTTTTGAAGCTATACTTTAATACATTTTTATTTCTTTTTTTGCATTGATGTTATTGATTCCCTGCAGGGATCCACTGCAGGATAATGAGATTTCTGGAATTTCTGTTGTGATTTTAGAAGACTGATCACATTCTATGATTTTGCTGATTGTGATCCTAGGTTTTGAATATTATAGCTAGTCAAAATTAAAATTCCAGTGTATCTTTTATTTCCAAGTCTTAGAGAAGGTTGCACTTGATCCATATTTGAAGTATTTATTTAAATTAGAACTTGAGACCAAAGTATACTCTGAATTTAATCTTTACTCAAGTCAACAAAAGTCATTCATTATTCTCTTAAGCACAGAAATAGGTATAGAATCTTGGGCTTAACTCACCCAGTGTAGAGCTTTGTTTTAGTCTGAGTGATTTATATAGATGTACATATACATTTTTGGTAGTGCTTTCATTAGCAATAGCAGAGATAAACATTATTTATAAATTATTACAATATGTGTTCACCTTATAATACTGAGTATCCATCCAATGAACTGGGCATTTTATATAAAGTAGCTAATTGATCATAAAATAATAACAATACAGGAGTTGAAATTATCTTCTTTTCACCTAAGAGAAAATTGAAGCTCCTAGAAAATAAATATTTTGCCTATAGTCAAACAGTGAGTGCAGAGCCCTGGTCAGTTCCCACTGCCTCTGCTCCTGCTTCGTAATAATGCCTCTGGACACTTCCGGAAAACTGCCTGGAGGACTGTCGGGTGGTATTTTTGGCCTACTAGGTGGAAAAAATAATCTCGAGGATGAGAAACACATGCTATTATTTTAATTATTTTATTCTAGATCTACTGCAAACTTTAAAATAGGCTCTATGTAACTGGCTGTGGACTAAAAACCTATGCACGACTTTAATTTACTTTGCTGGCAATAAGGAGTAAGAAAGATATTAATCTAAGACTAGTCTCAGGTAAGTGTGTTGATGAATGTCTGATATCAGTTCACTTGTACTACTGTTTCTGGAACCTTGGAACATCATTTTTTTTTATGAGTAGCACACTATGTAGGCTTAGGTTGTAGCCCTTCAAGACTTTAGGATCACAAAGCTGAATTTAAAATGCTATTGGGATACAATGGGCCTCAAGCCATTAGGAAATAGGAAACTATTAAAAACTATAACAGAAACAACAGTATTTCAGCTTAAAATGAACTTATTTTTACATATACTGTAGTAGGCAGTAAATATTTACAGTATTTTAATAAATATATTCATCACACTATATATTTTAAAGTCAACCTTACAGTGTCTTTAGCAGTTACAATTAACAAAGAATTCAAGTTTACATTAAATTACAGTAAGAGAGTATACCAAACGTTCTGATGTTTTATATCTATCTTTTAGAAAGCATTTGCTTTGTGCCAGTCACTGTGGTAGGCATTTTACATTCATTCAATTTTCATAAAATACAATTATTTTTCTTTTACAGTGGAGGAAATCGAGGCTGAGAGGTTAACTAATTCATCTAAGGTCATAAATTATTAAGTAGGAGAGCCCATATTTAACTCTACAAATGACCTACATGCATGACTACAAATTCTAAATTCTCTATCTCAATTCTGTATCAACTCTCTCTAATCACACCGCTTTAGTCAATATTGAAAGTATTTAAATATATGTATTCATTACATTATTTAGAGATAACCACATCAAAAACAAACCAAGCCATTATTTAGCAGCTTGTCTATATAACAATTGACTCAGAAATAACTACTTGCCGTTTAAAAATTTTAAAAGAATAGTACTTCCCCCCATTTCCTTTTTGCTTTAATAGATGAGTATGTGGAGATAGGAGAGTAGTTTACACATTCTCATCTTAGAGGAAGTTGAGTATATTCCCATGTAGGCTTTATCTGTAAGAATTAAAAAATTATTTCATCTATCTATATTTAATTTTAAAAACTACACAGAGGAGAGCATTGGATAGAACACTGGATATGCTAAAATAATGCTTTCTCGTTTTTTTGCAATAATAATTTTTAAGCATTTAGAAGCAATCTGAGCAAATCTTCAAAGTTGTTCAAGATGTTAATTTATCTTCAAAGTCTATCAGGAAATTAAAAGTACTTACATAATTGTATTGTTTGGTATCATTTCTTTAGAGACTTGGTTTAAAATTGAGGTGAATTTTAACTAAAGGAAGATGATAACTCTCTAAATAAGATACATAGCAAATATGAAATACAGTTATTTCAGAAATCAAAATGAGAAGAATGCACATATACACATAAGTAAATAGATCCCCAAAGTAACACCGATGTTATAAAACCAGTTCCAGGGCATGAACATACCTGTTGTTTCATAATCTTTATCTGCTCTTTTTGCTTTCGCTTCTCCTCAGCAGCCATTATTGCTGTGATGAAAAGCCAAAACACAGGGATTGTCAGAAAAGGAACGAAGAAGAGAAGCCGCCTGTGAACTCCCCAGTACTCACTCTTCAAGTTCATGTTTTCGTTTTACTCACTCACCTTGTTGTTTTTTAGCTTCTTTGGCAACCCGAGCCTGTTCCTGCTTTTGGAGTTTTCTCAAAAGCTTTATTTGTGCTGCTTGTCGGGCTATTTCTGAAAACACAAAATTTCAAGGACTAGGATTAACAACTTTACCTAACTGCTAACCTAAAAACAATTAACTATGTGAATGGCATCATAATAAAGGACATACTTTTTAAGAAAATTGTTTAAAGTTAGATACCAAGTAGGAAAATGGTGTGGCAGAAAATACCATGCTTACTTCCTTTAGAAATTGTCCAACTTTCTCATCAAATACAGCCCCATATTCAGAAGTACACAAAAATGATGCTTCTCTTAATCCTCATCACAGAAGCTAATTTAAGTACATTTTTTTTCACATTTCACATAATCCCTGTTTAGGAGGAAAGTAGCTGCTAATATGTAAAAAGAATGATTTAGCTTCAGTCTTAAAAATAACAATAAAGCAAAAGAACTCAAAATAGAATACAAAGCCCCTCCCAAACATAGTATTTCAATTAGCTATAAAAATGGTAAAGTTTCTGAATCCAGTGATACTTTCATTTATGAAACAGAGGGACTAAATCTAAATAAAAATAATACAGAATATCAGTGAGGTTTAAAGACAATCTAGTTCTCATTATTTTTAAGGACAATGTATGAAACTGGGGGAGGTCTACAGAATTAGTGGCCCCAATTCTTTATTCCTCCCTCTATCCATGTTACTTGCAATGTAACTTTGCAATTCTTTTCATCAAGAAATGAAATTTATTTTCTTGTCTCTTGATACTAACTTCTCACATGTGATCTTTGGCCAACAGGATGTTAGCAGTTGTGACTGCAAGGGTAAGTTTAAGAGTGTACTCTGTACTTGTGCAAGTGTGCAGTTTCACTCTCCTGTCTTGACCTTTATTATCAGGACATATTAAGGCTACGCTGCCAGAGGCTGGAACACAGGGAGTCAGCTGACTCCACACTCGTGAACAAGGCCAGGCAAGATCAGTAGAGCTGCCTACCTTACCTCCAGCTGACCCTATCAGCCTAACCAATTACCACGTGGTGGTGTTCACCACTGAGGTTTTGTGGGTGCTTGTTTCCCAGCATTACTGTGGCAATAAGTGACCGATACAGAAAGCTTGTAATGTCGTGCTTTCTTTTCCTGGAAAACAACTATAAAAGTGTTGTATCACAATATCACTTATAAAATCACTCTAGAATACCTAACATTAGATATTGGTTTAAATTTTGTAGCAGATGAAGAGTTTTAAGAAACCTATCTATTACATTCATTAGTAATGAATATACTTAGCTAAAACCTGAATCACTTGAACTCTACTAATAATTTCCACCATTTATTGAACTGCCATATTAAATTTACATGATCTTATTTAATCTTCATAACAACCAAATAGGATATGCAACACTACACCCCAGTTACGAATGAAATAACTAAGGCTCATAGAGGTTAAATTGCAGAGCCAAGGTATAAACCCAGGTCTTTCTGACTCCAGGTCTATATGCTACTAGTCCTAAAAACCTTTAAGAAAATTTAAATGCCTTGAGATTTTAAAAAGGACTTAACCATATGTTCTGTGACAGCTGAGAAACTCTGTAATATATATGGTGTGTATTTGTGTGTGACTATATCAGCAATTTCAAGCTCTACACAAGTGCACAGTAACTTTTATTTTTAAACCCTTGGGACAGAAAAACACTAAAAAGTTCAACTCGTTATCTTTTCACTCTAGCAAGGAAGACATAATTTTGGTAAGTCATTAAAAATTTATATAGCTTAAATTTTGTATTATGAGCAGTTAAAGAAGATGCAAAAAATAGGTTAAAAATATCAGGCACCCCATGGAGGAAGTACGAGAAGTTCAGAGGCACAGAAACTTCACCCAGGCTGAGGAATAAGCTACTACCAACATCTCATTTATTTGGTTTATGATTGTTGAATATATTATCTGTTATAACTAACTTTTGATATATTAACTTGACAAGTATCCTTTATGGTTTACAAAATCATTTGCTCAAATATCAGAAAGAAAAGTTTATTTTTGAAATAAAGTTTTTAAACATGTTTAAAACCAGAATATATCTAACAATTGGTAGCACTTTTCTTTTGCAGTGGTGTATTTTAAAATAATGAATCATTGTACAGCAATGGCATTTCAGACTCTATGATAAATAAAATTGACTGGTAAATTATTAGACAAATTAGAGCATTTGAGATATTAACAGCATTGGCCAATCAACAAGCAAGTTTGTTTATATAGTTTTAAAGTCTTTTTTATATTTAAACTGTCAGATTCTTATCTATATTCTCTGAGAAGATTGAGAGCTATCATTTCACATTCAAAATTCACATTTATTTTATTGTAAACCTTCCTTTAAATTAAGTCCAGTTTTACAAGCCTAGTTGAGTCCAACTAGGATAACAGAATATGACAGAAACTTCCAGAATCTCCTCTGACAACACCCCAAACTTTTAATGTAGAAGTCTTTTAGAATAAAAGGGGTGATCAGGTGACTCATTTCTACTTTTTCCTTCCCAAGAAAGAACATGCATATTATACCAAATATACTTATACAAATATTAAGAATAATTATTTACTTATATTAACTATTTAATATTTATATACATGTTGAGAAAAAACATGTATATAGTAAGGTCAAAGGTAACATAATTTACAAAATGCAATATAATACAAGGGAGAGCTATGTGATAGAATACAAACCAATTTGAAATCTGAAAGGGGAGAAAACACTGGGCAAAAGTTGAGTAATTATCTTCTATTTTATTAAAATAAAATTTAGTTAAGTTTGCAAATATAAAGTTGCCATTTTGAATACTAAGTATGAATGGTACTTGTGATAGACAAGCAAAACAGGCATGAATATCCCATGCTTTGTTTATCAGTTAATTTCAAGCTTTCCTATTTTATGTAAAAAATGCACACTTCCCACTATTATACATTCTTCAGAAAAGTCAGTGGTTTATTGACAATACTAATTTAAAAAACTCATCATGTATGTCTGTATGTTTACATATTAACATTTTTTAAACCTTCTGTAGTGACTATTTAGGACAGAGTAAAGTCTTAACAGGAATCCAATTAAATAACACAAAAAGTACTTAATTAACATACTAAAGGAGAGGAAAATTACAGGACATTAAGTTATAGGGCAGGCAGTTAACTTATATGCCACTGGTGGAAGTATGAATTGGAACAACCTCTTTGGAGACAATATTTGCCTGCTTTCTACCAAAATTGAAAATGCACATACCCTTGGAGTAGAGATTCTATCTCTAAAATTTTATACTGTGGATAGCCATACCTGTCAAAGAATGAAGATATGTGTAATGTTTTTATTGCAGCATTGTTTGCGACAGCAAAGGTGAGGAAGCAGCTGAAACACTCACCAAAGGAGACTGAGTAAGGGAAGTGTGGTAGAGCCATACCTTGCCTCACCGACTATTCAGCCACTGGAAGTGTAAGGTTGATTTTTAAGTGCTGTATAGAAAGATGCTCAAGAAAAATTAAGTGGAAAAAAACAAAGCTGAATGGTATATACACCAGTAAGTTCATTTATTTTAGAAATCAAAAGAACATATACATATATGAACATCACATATGCATGTGTACACATTAAGTGTGTATTTGAATGTGTGTCTGTGAGTGTACATACTTCTGGATAGATTACAAAAAACCTGTTAATTATGATCCAACTTGTGAGTGTCTTTTATTTTAAAGTCAGTGAGAGTGAATGTTGTATTTTAAAGCATTATACTCTAGGAGCTTTTATCATGCATACTTGTTTCATAATGAAAACAACAGAGCTACAGAGAAGTCAGTATTATAATGGTGTATACAATAAATGAAGTCAGTCAAGCTTTTCCTCATGAAAAAAAACTATGAAAAGTAGTAAAATCCTGTCAGTCTTTTAAGTCAGTTTTTATTATTAAACCCTTATGGATATCATGTTTATGATACAAGCATGTATTGATATACATTTATATACATATATATATATATATACGGTTATGAATATAAGACATGAACACATTGATATATATTGAGACAGCCTTAAGAGGCTTCACACTTGTAACTACTTAATTCAAACTTCATAGCAGAACTATTTTATTTTAGTCGGCATTCTCTGTGTGAGACACAGCATGGGAACTTCTTACTGATAATTCATGGTAAGTTTGAATCATAAACACATTTGAGGTTACTTTGAGCATGTACTTGATAAGTGATACTTTCTGGTGATCTTAAAATACTTTTTGATCTAAGTTTATTAGTTGGGCATTTTGAAAATAAATGTTATATATCCAGGCTATAGAAGAACCCAGACTAAAACTCACCACTAATAGCAGTTCTCTGACTGAAAATTTACTCCACAGATCCACATATTTTGGAGTTACTCCCTTGCACCACCGCCAGGAACTGGGAGCTGTTCAAATGAGAGTTTCCGGCCTGAAAAGTTCATCACCTACCTTTGTAATTCTAAACACACAGGGTATGATGTGTTTACGAGTATGACTCTTGAAAGGCGCTTATTAAATCCAAGAACTCCAGTTACCAGTGGGACTCCTTATTTTCTCATTTTATTTGAACACAATTATCTACCTTTTAGAAACTGAAAGTAGTTATTAGTCATTCCTATGTCAAAAACATGTAGAAATACTTAATACTTTTAGTACGATTCTTAGAGTGACGGATACATGTTCCCTACCTTGAGCTTGCAGTTTTCTTAGCAATTTGGCATCTGTGTTATCTAGAAATTCAGCACTGCCAACATTTGGAGGTCGACCCTTCCGACGTCTCATCCTGGTATCCTCTCTTGGTCGCTGTCTGTCTGGATTCGGTGGTCTTCCTCTACGACCTTCCATTGCCCTGACACGGGGAATGGCATCCTCTTCTTTCAGAAGACACCACTGCATTCCCTTTTAATTAACATTTTATAGAAATAAAATATTACGAACAAAATAAACATAAGTGATCAATGTCAAAAAATTCTAGGTAAACTTACACATCTTAATTTTTATAAAGCTGTTGTAACCTTTAGCAATTTTAGTTTCTAATTAAAGTTACATTTATAATTGTTCATGGCTTTTGGCATATATTTGATATTCTTACTTTAATGATTTCAACTTTAAATACATTGAGATATATAACTATACCTATAAACATATAGAGACATACATCTTAATCACCATTTCTGAACTATAATGACTGTAAAGATGGCAGGTATTTGAAAAGATTAGTTGTGTGATGACCCCCCTATGGATTGCTCTCATGAGCATCAATTCAACCAAACATGAAGCTATCCAAATAACAAACGAAAGATTCTCTTTATAGGAAAAACACAGCTAATAAATCAAGAAGGAATGTAAGAGTCAAACTATCAGCATTTTGCAATATCTGATGAATTAATGGATCTAAGCATTACATTTGAATGGTTGTCAAGCATCAGAAAAGGGAGACAAGTGGACAGACAGCCTCTTGATGGAAGTTCACTTCATCACCTATAAACTAAACCTCCCTCCCCCTCCCAAAAAAACTAAACCTGGATATGATTAAGCCTCTAGATTAAATCACTATAACTTAACAACTGGGAAAATTTATTCACTGTGTATATTAAACTACACAGCAAAATCCAGTCTGTAGGAAATTCTACAAATTACCCAGTTTATTCAACAAATCAATTTCAAGAAGCGAAAACACTGTAGGAAGATTAAAGGGGCCTTAAAGGATGTATCAAACATGCCCAATGTTTGGCTCTTACCTAGATTTTGATTCAAATAGACAAATTGTTCAGGAAATTCTAACAGTTAATAATTTAAACAATGAAAATTTTGAATAATGACTGATATTTGATGGTATCAGGAAATCACAATTTTAAAGTATGGTAATGGTATTGTGACACTTTTGTAGAAAACAAGAATTCTTATCTTTTAGATACACTTACAGATGAAGTACGACGTCTAAGATTTGCTTCATCAAATTATGGAAGAGAAGGAGTAGATGGGAATATATGTAAAACAATATTGTTCATATGATAATTTCTAAAGCTGATGATAGGTACATGATATACATTATTTTGCCTACTTTTGTGATATTTCAGATTTCCCACTATAAGTCTCCTCATGGAAACACATACACCAGCATAACGCTAGTGTATTACAGGAATAAGCCTGCTTAGTGCATAGGTAATAATCAAGAGCTGGTTGTCCTCTGTAAGGCAATCAAATCAAATACACTGTTACATGACCTTATTTAGAGTCCAAAGTAGTATGTCCAGACATAGGAAAAGCATCCTTTCAAAATAACCTTTCTAAAACAATTTTACATTACCTTATACTTCTTTTTTGAGAGAGAATTCCTGTGGTGTGAAGGTTAAGAACATTTTTTAATGTTTTCTTTTCTTAAAAGGATCTTAAAGCAGTATTTAGCCTGAACCACCCTGGGCACTTCTGCAACCAGAGTCAGAAGTTCTGACTGCCCTTCATGCCATAAGGCCAGGCTCAGAATCATGGCATATAAAGATCTCACACAACGGGTACCATGGAGACAAACACTACTCTTGCTCCTATTATGGAGAATAGTTACATTCCACATTCCAAGCACTGTGCTTTGTCTGAGGCATTTTGAATATATTGTTTACTTTAATCTTCATAATTATTTTACCTAGTAAGGTGGATTTTACTGTCCCTATATTACCATTGAGGGAATCACAGGCCCAGTGAGGTTAAATCATTTCCTGAGGTGCACTGGCAGTAAGGAACAGAAATGTGATTTGAATTCAGGACTGTCTCTCTCTAAAAACCTGTGGTCTTAACGACTACATGTACTTAACTGATATTACAAAGACATTTTTATACTTGATACTGATCACAATATTTAGGCATGAAAGCATAGTCAAGATGATGTTAAGGCTGGATTATGAAAAAAACCAATGCATATACTGTCTGTATGTTAAAAAAATATCTATACTAAATCTTTTCAGTAATTCCCATTTTAAATATTAATTCTGAGGAGAGAATTTTTTGCTGAGATTTCAAATGAAGTCAATAGGAACAGCAGTTGTACTAACTGCATTTTTACACCATAAAACACTAAGAAGGAAGCCATCAAAACAATTTAATGTTCACCAGTATGGGAAGCTTTTGATTGGTTTACGTTTTCATTTTTCTATTATGCTCTTAGGCATGATGGCAGCATGCATCACATAAATTGGAAAATATAAAACTGACATTTGTGAAACTTGGAGTAGAAGAGAGAGACTAATACAAGTGTAAAGGAATTTTCATTCAGTTTAAAAAATATTTTATTAATAATAAAAACAACCGCTGGCCAAAATTTCAAGGGTTCAATTAATCTTTTTATCCAGTTATAATTTTTACAGTTATATTTTATTCAGCTAGGAAAATATATCTATGTCAAAAAAGGAACAGATTATGTTGGTGTCCAAAATTCACCTGACAAATGACATCATTTACATTTTTACTTTTGGCATTTATAAATAAATACTTTCTAAGGGCAACATGTATCGGGCTATCTTCTGACTCCAAGATTTTATAAAATGAGAAATGGATTGTTAGGAAAATCTGAAGCTTGTATTATAAGTTTAATTCACTGAACAATCAAAACAATAGTGGGGGAGGAAAAAAAGATTATTTCTCAATAAACTTTTCCTTAGAAAAAGCAAATACAATTTATATAATTTGATTCCTATGCTTGTCATTCAGAAATCATGCATGAAAAAGGAGTTTATTCTTTTTTTAATTTCTAAGACTAAGATAGTAAATGGTTCCTGAAAATAATCTTTCTTAAGATTTAAAAGAAACAGATAAAGAGAAAAAAGATGACTAAGAAGAGATGGTGACAGATCAAGCCTTTTATACCATTATAATTCTCCTTTCTACAGTTACTAATTTAAATCTTTAGCAGTAACACATTCATTTCTGTAAATACTAGGGTGAGAGAGAAAAAAAAGGTTTATGTTTTATTTCAGATGACTGAATGAAATAATCACAGTAAATGAGAAAAAGTCACTCTACACTGTAACACATACCAGTATACTAATAGACTGTAATGCGTTATAAAGACAGTTTCCACTACTTAAGACACTAGAGGCACCTACTCTGTACAGGCACATTCTCTAAAGAGGTTAAGCTAGAGAGAGTCCTCTCCTCAAAAGGACAAGCATTTTTAACTAGGACCTCAGACTCAGGTTATTCTTCTAATGCAGGTGATTCAAGGATCACACCCTGAGTAAGTAATGAGTTTGAAAACGGATGCAGAGATTGGGACAGAAAGTTGTCTCAACTGTCCACTCAACAAAATAATGATGGTCTGAGTTAGGGCCTGAGAATTAGAGGTAGAAAGGCAGGTAAATAACGTGGCTCTTTTCTTGGAGAGAGGACTGCCTGGATGTGAGGGAGAGAAGCCTCATTGGAGACCAGACAGGTCTGACGTGGCCTCTAAGTAAGGAAAAGGGAAATAGTAGTAAAGTTTTCTTCCTGAACAAAGTTAAGATACAAGATGGAGAAATACTTGAGGAAAATGGCAAATAAATTTATTGCTTCCAAATATTTCAAGATTTTAAAAAATTACCTTAAATGAATTGACTTTAAAATGTTTCCATTATTCAGAATTTTAAGTGAGATTATGAAATTTTAAATATGAGTTTCTATTTCAACATTCCCATTACTTTTCATAGCTGAACATCTCATGAGCAATTGGTCTGTTTTCACTGTACTTTATGGACACTGAACTGTCTAAGTAATTGGATTTCCTACGTTTCACTGACAGCTAGAGTCAACTGTCTACCAGTTCATGTTTAGGTCTTAATAGGATATGTTCTCAAGTTTCATTTGTGCTTTTATATCCTCGCTGACTTTATGTTTATTTTGTTGCTCCCATTTTTGTTTGAGTTTATATACTTGAGGATGATTTAATTGGGGGGAAAGCAGTAAATAAGTAAATGAGGGAACCCAGTCCACAAAAGTCAGCTTTCACTGAATGATCTGTTTGTCAACTTACTGAGATTTTTTGCTGTTGTTTGTTTTTTAAGTTTTAGTATGACCAAAACTTTGCTGCAAGAATTTCCTCACAGATCTGCAGTCCTAGGCAACTAAGTGTCAATTTCTCACATTAATATTTTAGATGCCTAGTACTTCCTGAATGATCAATGTTATATAAATGAATGAATGAACTTAACATTTTTCAGAATTGGGAACTGTACCTATTCTAAGCCTGGCCTAAAATACCTGTGGTGAATGTTTTAAATCTGGATTAAGGTATCTGGTCTGAAGATTTTAGGTCTGTTAGTCATTCAGAGAACTGATCATTTACCAAATTATTTCTGGCTAAACAATTTTCAGTAAATTTAACCATAGCTCAAATAAAATAAAGTTATCTTCTTTTTTTAAAAAAACCACCTTTCCAGATGCTCCACATCGTTAATTATCAGAGAAATGCAAATTAAAACTACAATGAGGTATCACCTCACACCAGTAAGGATGGCTGCCATCCAAAAGACAAACAACAACAAATGTTGGCGAGGCTGTGGAGAAAGGGGAACCCTCCTACACTGCTGGTGGGAATGTAAATTAGTTCAACCATTGTGGAAAGCAGTATGGAGGTGCATCAAAATGCTCAAAACAGACCTACCATTTGACCCAGGAATTCCACTCCTAGGAATTTACCCTAAGAACGCAGCAATCAAGTTTGAGAAAGACAGATGCACTCCTATGTTTATCGCAGCACTATTTACAATAGCCAAGAATTGGAAGCAACCTAAATGTCCATCGGTAGATGAATGGATAAAGAAGATGTGGTACATATACACAATGGAATACTACTCAGCCATAAGAAGTGGAAAAATCCAACCATTTGCAGCAACATGGATGGAGCTGGAGAGTATTATGCTCAGTGAAAT